TTATGGATAGATATATTATTTATATAACACCACTGTTCGAGCTTATAAAAAAGACGCAGAAATTTAGATAAAAAAAACTGTAATAATGCGTGTTTAAAGATATTAAATATTGACTTATTATATTACCAGTACTGGTGCAGCACGACCCAGAAAAAGAAATAACTATTAAAACTAATATATCAGATTATACTATTAATATATATATAACACAGCCCGGAGATGACAGAAAATCTAGACCAATTATATTTTACTTAAGAATATTATTCAGGTAGAACTCAATTATAACATCTATAATAAAGAATTATTAGTTATAATAGTAGTATTCAAGCAATAGAAGATCTATCTTAAAAAAATAAAATATACTATTATTATAAAAATAAATTATAAGAACTTAATCTATTTTATAATAATTAAAGAATTAACCAGAAAGCAGGCAAGATGGACAGAAATTCTATTATAATATAATTTCTGTATCATATATTATAAGAAAATAGAAAACGGACATACAGATATACTAAATTACAGATTAAACTATAAAATAAAAGAAAAAATTATCAAATCAGTTATTCTAAAATAAAATAAAAATAAATTAATTAGTTATAATAAAGCTAATCTTATAATAATATTAGAGATTAGCAGTAATCTGACCAGATAATTAGCTAATATTATTAAAGAAAATAAGATACTCCAGAAAATAAGTAGAAGTTTATTAAAGAAGATTATTATTAATAAAAAAATTAATTTACTTTTATAGATTAATCTTTGTACTGACTAGTATGAGGGCAGAAATCATAGCTATATATTATAATAAATTATTTAAAGAATACTTAAGAATTAAAAAAATTATAAAAGTAATTACTAGGAACTACTATCTTCCAAACCTCAGATAAAAAGTATATAATTATATTAAATAATATAAGATATGTATCAGGAATAAGCCCGCGAGGTATCAACTTTATAAATAAATATAAGTATAAAAAGTACTATAATAACTATAGAAATAAATAATAATTAACTTTATTAGTCTATTATCTGAATTAAAAGAATATAATATTATTATAATTATTACTAATTATTTTACTAAATACATCCATCTCGTACTAAGTAAAATAATAATGACAGTAATATAGATAGCAGAATTATTCTTAGAAAATATTATTATAAACTATGGGATACTAAAATATATTATATCAGATAAAAATAAATTATTTATTTTAAAATTCTGGAGATCACTCGCAGACCTCATAAGAATTGAAGAATAAATGATAATAGCTTATTATCTATAAATAAATAAATAAATAGAAAGAATTAACCAGATAATTAAGTAATACTTAAGATACTATATTAATTATTAATAAGATAATTAGATAGATTTATTACTTATAATACAGTTCTTATATAACAATACTAATTACTTAATAATTAAAATCTTATTATTTTATACTAATTACAGTTACTATCTAAGATTCCTAGAAACACCATTAAGAAAGTAATCAGTTGCTGATATAATTAAAAATATTATTATATTCATAGATTATATATACACTCAGTTATCCAGAAACATCGAATTCATGAATCTATGAAATAAGATCTACTATAATTACTAATATAAAAAAAAATCTAATTTAAAAAAAGAGAAAAAAATATTCCTGCTCTACTAAAATATTAAGATAAAATAACTAAGCCGGAAACTTAATTATTATAAACTAGGACTATTTATTATTGAGAAAAAGAAAGAACCAGTTAATTATAAGTTAAGATTATTAAAATTAATAAATAAAATTTATTTAGTATTTTATATCTTATTATTAGAATCCGCACCAAAGAACGCTAGAATCGCAGAAAATATAGAAATTAATAATAATACTGAGTAAGAATATGAAGTTGAAAAAATTCTAGATTATAGAAAAATTAGTAGTAAATTATATTATTTAATAAAATAGAAAGATTATAATACTTTAAAAAATATATAGAAATCTATCAAGAACCTGACAGGCTGCTACCAGCTTATAAAACAGTACTACTAGCAGATAAATTAAAGTTTATCCAGAAGAAAGAGGAACTAACCAACTAAATCAGACTAGAATTATTTAATATAGTAGTAAGTTAAGTAATTTCTTATTTATTTATTATATATTTAATCTTCTGGAGATCCTCAGTGCTTAAAGAATTCTCTTTATTAACTATATCTATTAAATTAGAATTATATTCCAGCATCTTCCGACCACGCTCATTCAAGAATTTGCGACGTGTTTTAAGATTCTTTAATTTTATAAATAACTCTTTGATTTAACTCTCAGCAGTATTAATTTAAGTATCTAAAATATTATAATTATAATTAAGCCTGGACTATTCTTGCTTGGAATGAAAATAAGGACTATATTTTCAACCACAGCACGTATATAATAAATAATTCTAATTTTTTAAATCTATGATACAGACAAGGCCACGACTTTTATAATAAAAGCAAGAATTATTAATAAAAATACTCTATTTTTTAATTTTATTAGTCTGAATCTGGAACTCGTGATAATAATTGTGAATTTTCTCTGAATCTTGGATTCTAGTACAGCGAGGCATGATGGATTATTATAAAGAAAATAAAAGCAAGAACTGAGAGCTATAACAAATCTATAAAAAAAATATATATTTTTATATTTCTTGAAAATAAGAAATCTCAAAGAAGGAGGAGTAATATTATAGATCCCTGCTAATTAATCTACTAATAAGATAGATTTATTAGACAGAAAATACTGATAAAAATAATATTTAAGTAATCAGAAACTTTTGTTAAGAAGAATTTCAGATTATTTCTACAATATCCGGAACAGCTGTATGTTATATGAATAACTATCATCTACCATTGCTAAGATATGGTATGCGGGTATACAACTACTATCAGAACTACTATCAAGAATAGTATATAATATAATATATAGAAAATAAAATATATAAAAATATTTATTTCTATACTTAGATAGTTCTGTTCTTTGTGCTTAATCTTATATTATCTTAAGTAATCTACCATTAAAAGTTTAATAATATAACACTCATCTGCATTTATTTATAGATAGCTGTGCAGTACTATTCAGCCTTACTTCTCTTCTTTTGTCCAAGATCAGTTACTTTTAGATAGACTATCAGTCTGATACCACCTCGATCCAGTTCGACGGTACGTATACCAGTGAAGCTAAGCTAACAGGGACAGGGAAGCAATCCTAGGGTTTGACACAGATGTACTAGTAGTATCTATCCTGCAGTATTAATATATTTAATTAAAGTTATTTATTAATAATATTCTGGTTATATAAAAAAGGGTCTTTCTTAGTATATTAATCAGATAACTATTTTAGTAGTATTTAATATATTTATAGCAAAACCAGTTTTATTAAAATTGTAGATATCTTCATCGGTTATACTGTATATTAATATAGCAGTTTATATATAATTAAACTAGATCTGAATAGCTTCAGGTTCTTTACATTTTACTTATTTATAATTGATTTAATAACTATATTAACTTTTTAGAGAATTATACTGCGTGATAAAGTTAGTGACCTATTTTTGATTAACAGAGGTAGTAGTATCTTGACTGTATTTTTAAAGTCAAAAATTAGCTATTTTATAAACTTAAGAGTACTTTAGTAATATATTATATTAATTTAATAATATAATCTATTTTTTAAGTAATTCCTTCTATATAAAAGTTAATTTATGTGAGTTGGCTCGAGTATTTTTATAAAGTTTAAGTCTATTCAGACAATCTTGAAGTATTAATTATAGAACTTTGAAAATATATGCAGTTTAATATTTAACTTTTCTGGATAATTTTAACAGTTAAGCAGAGTCTGCCTTCTTACTCTACTGAAGATTTTGATAATTTAGATATTTTTGGTGGTGTAATGGCTGTTTGAATAACGTCGCTTTGGAGGCGGTTGTGAGTTTCGATGGGGTGGCCGAACTCGCTTACGTGGCCGACTCGCTTGCCGCTTACGTTAGATTATCTTTATCATCCTTAGGCGAATTTACAGAATTGTATAGCTGATTCCTTATCTAGTCAACAGGTTTTCTACCCTGACAAATAGATCCTATCACAGATTCAGTAATTTCTTTTATATAGGTAGATATGTACTAATATTAGTAGGAGGTCAAAGATGTTATATATAAAAAGGCGTGGACAGACTTCCATACAAAGGATAAGACAGAAGAAGCCTATCTGAATAATAATCTTACTAAGGAAGATGCAATTGCTCGAACAATATATATTGAAGCGCAAGTAGAGGAGGCTGTTAAATGTCGGACTTACACGGCACTTTTCTCAGAGACGTTTGTCTAGTTAACCTGACAGCCGAAGGAGCATTGCAAAATAAATATGTAACAGTTAACAGTATGAAGATGCGCTGTATCCGAATCATATGTGTCCTAATTCTTAAAATATTGAACGAGAGTGATGCGGGTGGGGTTAAGCTAAAGGCAGTAGATCTTGGAATAGAGAGTTATTTATTTATCTTTATTATTTATATATATTCTTCTATACTTCTTTCTTTCCTTTTCTCCTCATATCTGATATTCTAGTTTAGAAATGCCAAATAAGGAATGTTAGATCGGCTCTCCGAATTGTTTGACATGGAGCGGAAGCTCACTTAAGCGCTTGCATCCTCTGCACAAAGCAAGGCTGATATCAGATCATATTATTGCCAGATTGCTGGAAATAAGACCATGATATGGGCACTCTTTAACATGTGATCTTGACTTCATCTTAATAAAACCAATGCAACGAGGACAAGAATGTGATGTTCCGCTTTAAGTGAGCTTTTGAAAGCAGAGCTGCAGCTCTCTAAAAAGCCATAGCTACACTCGGCTATCAATCCCCCGGCTTCGGCTATTGTGACTCCAGTGCCGAATCAACCGAGTTCCCGGAACACATAATACTAATATCCGTTATTTCAACCATGAAAACATCGGACATCTCAACTTCATGTACTAGGAAGAACAGCAGCATGGACTTCTCAGAGTACACCGGCCCTAGTGAGGAGTGGCTAGCCCTGGAGGCCACCCTTCCTCCTCCCCCTCTCGGTCTTCCAATCGAGGAGCTGAAAGCAGTTAACAACGCACGCCGCGAGCAGGATGCGGCAGAAGCTATGAACAAGCTTGGTACTCAGTAAATGCAATCGATTTCCCTCACCAAGCGTAATAACAATGATAGGTCTCCATCAGATAGTTAACCTGCAAGACCATACAATCCCAACCCGTGACGGCAACATCATCGAAGCACGCAGCTACCGACCTACCGGAGTGGATAGAAATCAGCCTCTCCCTGTCTACCTTCATTTTCACGGAGGTGGCTTCGTCTTCGGTACATTGTCTTCAGAAGATGCCACATGCGCTCAGATCGTCGCGACTCTTGCTGAACAGAGTACCTTTGTTGTCGTGGTGAATGTGAATTACAGACATACACCAGAGCACAAATACCCCGTCGCATGGAACGACGCCGAAGACGCCTTCTTCTGGGTCCATGATCACGTTGGCGAGATCGGCGGCGACAGCGAGAGACTGGTCATCGGAGGTATCTCTGCTGGGGCTTGGCTTACGGCATCGCTTACCCTAGAGCAACAACTGAGAGAGCCAGGAGATCTTGCAGCGCGGCCCAGGATCAAGGGGCAAGTTCTTATGATTCCGGTACTAGTTCATCATGACTGTTATGAGCCGCAGCTGATGAGGCTTCGGGACCCGAACACTTCGAGCTGGGTCACAAATCGGGACGCGCCTATTCTTCCGCGTCGGACAATGGAGTTCTATACTTCACTCTTAGGGATAGGAGCCTCAAGGGAGATTAAGGGCAATTTGAGGTTAAACCCGGGCAATGCTACTGCGGAGCAGGTGACAGGACTGCCGCCTACGACATTTGGCGTTGCGGGACTGGATCCGTTAAGAGATGAAGGGTTGTTGTATGCTGATTTGTTAAGTCGAAACGGGTATGTTGTCTCTTCGCTTCCGGAGGTTTGGTTTTACTGTGACACGAGACTGTGCTGATTGTATTGATGCAGGGTTCCGACGCAAACAAATGTCTTCAGGGGTGTTCCGCATGGTTTTCGCAGGTATGGGGAGAAGCTGTCGGTATGTGAGCATTGGGATCGGATTATGGTCGAGGGAATCAAGTTTGCGCTGAGTGATCCTACTCCCGGAAAGTTTGAGATTCATGCATTTTGAAGGAATTGTAGCTTTGAATACCGCCGAGCGGTATTCAATACAAATCTATATCTATATCTATATCCGTGAAGACGTTAGAGAAATGCAGATCTTTCTGAACTTCAAATACACAATGAGCTCGAACGTCCCGGATATAATCTACGAAAGCCTACTAGATTTACATGTAGTTATGATGACTGTCTCCTTATAGATGCTCTGCACTGGAGGGGATAGGCCTGGACTTCGAGCACCAGGTAAAGCGTTCTCGTGGTTGACAGTGAAGGAAACATGACTCTTGTCTTCGTGATGGTTTGGCCTCCAAGTAGTTCAAATTGTTCTTCCTCACGTTGTTAGATCTGGATCCCTAGATCGAAAACGAGCCTCTGGACAAGAAGCTGATAGGCGTAGTTTCTGGGAAGATGCAAAGAATGAAAGTACCACTCGTCCAGTTATACATGGCGCCCAAATTAAACAATAATTGCTCATTATTATGTAATTAGGCAGTAACCCTTTGACAAACAGGACAGTTGAGTGCGTTGCGAAAAATAAGATTTCAACGGCTAACGTGAAGGTCTTTAGATTTCCTCTTGAGAGTAAACCCAATTGAAGTCAGAGTTGTTACAGTATATCAGTTACTATCCCATGTCTTCGGGTTATCAACAGTATCGCTATAACTGCATAATGAATGTCATTTGGATACTTACCAGTGTGCGGGACATTCCATCATATATTCAGGCTAACGTTGTCTGACTGTTTCAAAGGAGAAGAAAGTACTTCCTCCTGCGTTAGCAGCACCTCTTTCTTATCTTTAAGAGAGTCATTACAACTTAGTAGTACTATATAAACAGTTCTCTTTGAGATGTATAGATATTGTCGGAGCACTAACCGCTAGACCAGAAACGATATACCGCTCTTGGTTAGCTGGGCGACCGAGAGATATGTGTCCCAATATATATATATATATATGTACATGTACTGATCCAACGAACATAATGATCGCTGGAGACCTCTATGCAAGCGCAAAGGGGAAGTGTTTGTGGGCATTGTTGAAGATCTTCTGGTGAACCCGTGGAATGAGGAAGAATGGCAAAAGCGTTGTGCCATTTTCAACAGCAATACACTACAAAAAGTCAGGCAATTTTATAGCTACAATGCAAAGACTTAGAAAGTCACATTTTGCTATCTTTTCTGTCGACAAAGATTACGGAATTTCTTGCCTTCTTCTTGGGTTATCCAACTTCATTCCCCTTTAAAGGCCTTACGATGTTTGTTGGTAAGATTCTGCCTGGCGTGTCCGCCCGGTTAGTTCAATCCTGTGCCATGTCGGGTTCAGAAATTAGTGTGGCTGTGTCAGACCGGAGCTGGAAAAACACTTCGGTTAGGTTCAGAGTAATTCCGACACCGATTGAACTCATATATAGGATTCACTATTATATCTGATACTCGGTCAACTCTACACTTGATTTGGAATATTATAAGAAAATTCCATAAGATTCCTGATACCCCAAATATCCCTACAACTCCCCAAAGGTGTGGCTATTATAGGAAAAGACTGATTCAGAAAAGAAACTCGAATCAGGAACTCACTAGTCTGACATTCATCCTGCCTTTCACTCCAACAAGTTCCGTCTCCGCAATTCGGCAGAGGATGTTACGCGCCCCATAAAAGTGGATAATCGGCCAGAATAGGAAGTACAAGTAATCTATGATAGTCGTGGCTACTACGGACTTGCCTGAAGTATAGCGCCGAGTCGCTTACCTTCAATGAAATCGACCGCAAATGGCATCTAGGTAGTGATTACAACGACGCCTGTTGTTGGGGTTGATGGGATTGCGCTGAATTGGGGCGAGGGTGGCCCATACCTAGTTGCTCATAGGCAGATCTAGGCAAGGGGTTGATATGATGGCCGGCCACCGCCTTGGATCACTCAATTTTCGGTTGCTTTGTACTGGTTGTCGCCTATCAATCAGTCGCTGAATTCGTTATTCTCCAGCTTCGCCCCCTATCATAACACTCTTTCTTCTATGATGTTGAATATGATTGCTGATGCCGAGCAGCGTGCCAATACAAATGGCTTTGATGGAACGACCGTTTCCGGCATCTCCGGATTTTCTTAAGGATCTTCTTGGGTATAATTGAATTTAGCATGATATTCGAACAACATCATTGGGTGTCTAGTACGTGATGCAACGATAGAAGGACAAAGATTCTCTCATCGCATATAGAGCTATGGTTTACTAAGCGGCAATGTTACTAACTAGTGGGGCTTTTTGCGCTGCCTGTGTTCCTTGTATAGTTCTGTGTCTACGGAGAAGTGCCTGGCATATCCGTCGAGCCAGAAGGTCGATCAGCTGGGGTTTGGAGCCAGTTTCCCACTTACTATTCACAACTCTGTTCACTTACGAGGTATGCGGGTCGCAGATCCCTTTCCCACGGAACGGGCCCTAGTCTGAGCTCTAAAGTCCCAATTGGTTGATTTGAGCCCGCTGTAGCTGATTAAGCGGAAGTTGCACAGAGTTAGTTAGTCTACAGAGTAAACTCTAATTCGGTGGATCCGAGCAGCGAGGTAACTAGGCCTATGATATGCCAATCCCAGCCCTCCAAGCGCAGGATCTTGAGGTCATCCTTTCGCTCAATTCAAGGCTGTATCTTACGCTAACAAGGATCCTGAAGACTCAGAGTGTTAGGCAGCCAAGTTCGAAGAACGCTGGGCCCTTTACACCTTATCTTAGCTTCTTAAACCAGGGAAGATTTCTCCAATCTATAGTTATACTATGTGGGGCAGGTTGATTCTTCGACTTTTCTGCACTGGGAGTACAGAGTGCTCGGACGAAGACATGTCTCATCAATTATCGCGCTTTTGATATTGCTGCCTTAATACCTCAACATGAAGACAAATGAATATTGGATTTGTCGTGATGCTTCGAGATTCACCCAACTTCTGTTCTATTCCACAGCATTTCGCACGTTTTATAACGCTAGGAAGTATGCCAGATAGCAGACTAGTACTGACGGTAATGTATTTCTCTATCACTCGGATAAGATAATTTACGGTACTCATCGGTTATTATAAAATATGTGATAGGCCAAGTTCTAGTTGTACCGAGCACTCTAATCAGGGGCAATTAATATCTCGTCGGTGAGGATATTTCACAGCGTACTCCATCTGTCCAATGCTTGGCCCGGTATTTTGGAAGCACGCGAAGTCAGCCAGTCTGTCTGAAGCTGTCGTCACGCATGTAGAATCGCTATCTCAACTTCAATATTATTCCCAAGGATACAAGATACTAGACCCACAGCAGCATCGTGGTCCACAAACCGGGTGAAATCATACCCATTATGCAGGAACTGAACGGGCTCGCGTGGAATAGCAAGCTCGGCTCCGTTCTGTGCTCAATGCTAACCTGCGACTATATATACAGAGTCGTCCGACAGGGGAGACAGAATTCTCTTCCATCCCACTAGAACTTGTTTCCCCTTTGAATCCGAATCCCTAGTCACAATGCATCTTTCCTCTACGCTCTCGGCCTTAGCCCTAGTGGCCACTACTATGGCCCACCCGGGACCGCACGATATCCTGAGTCGTAGCGAGTTGAGTCGTCGCTCCGCGATGGGCTTGAAGTGCCGCGAAAACGTCTCCCAGTACCATGAGCGGCGCTGGAAGCGCAACATCGACCGACGCTGGCATGGTCACAACACCACTTTCTCGATTCACACCGAGGCCCCCTACTTCGAGACCCTCCAGAATGACACTTGCGTGTTGACCCCCGAGGTCACCCAGGGGCCCTATGTGTATCCTCCTTCGCAAACCCTCCGTCAGGACATGACTGAGGACCAGGTTGGTGTACCACTGTGGTTGGATATTGGTGTTCTCAACATGGACACTTGCGAACTTCTCGAGGACGTTCTTATCGATATTTGGCACTGCAATGCGACTGGATCCTACTCCAGCTTCACACACCTGTCTCCCAACACTCCTTTCCTGGAGCTCCTCAAGCAGGAGGGCATCAACCAGAGTGACTACCAAATTGGTGTCACCGATCTGCACACCGATGATAGTACCTTCTTGCGCGGGATGTGGCCTACCGATAAAAATGGTATGATGGAAATGAAGACTATTTTCCCTGGTAAGTAGAGAAAACTGTCTTGAGCTTCACTACCAATTTTACTAATAGAAAGCGTCTCTGCAGGATTCTACATTCAGCGTGCGATTCACATCCACGTCCAAGTGCACACTGACTGGACTCTCCGTGAAAACGGTACCATCACCACTAACAACATCGTGAGCACTGGCCAGCTTTATTTCGACGAAGCGCTGGAAGAGAAGATCATGTCTCTTGAGCCCTATGCCTCCCACACGCAGATCAACCGTACCACCAACGCCGAGGACTCTGTTTTCCCTTACGATACGGCTGGAGGCTTCAACCCTGTTGTTGATGTGGTGCCTATGGATGGAAAGGACGTGACTAAGGGAATGATTGGTTACATTACCCTCGGTGTTGACACCAGTGCCATTGAACATGGTGACAACTATGTGGGTGACTCTTAGGACCGTTTCCCATTCATCTTGTTCCACTATGGAGCCACTGAAATATAGAGTTTTAGTCCCTAGTCTTTGGTCCATTGCACCCCTGTGTCAATTTGCAGAAGCGCTTTACTGTTCATACCTGCTTAACCACGCGGGTGATATGGGATCAGCATGGCCTTTTGGGTTTTTCTTTTCTTTCTTTCTTTTTTGCTTCGTAAGTGCGCCGGTATAGACTGATTACTGATAATTGGGCCTAAGATTGGATAGAAATTGTTAGAAATAGTTATTGTTGCACTTATCTACCACTCTCGGTTCTTCCACGGGCTAGTAGGTCCGAATATATAGTAGTAGTGGTTGCTCTGGAGCGGTTTCGGGTCATCGTTGCTCGCGTCGTCACAATGGTCGAGGCAGAAGTATTCGAGGCTACTCACCATGTGGACTTGTTTCATCGACCCTGACATAGATTAATGTTCAGATACGCCTAGTTCTTAGAAGTCCTCAGATTCCGCTTTCAGCGGCGGTGGCATTAACAGTTTGGGTCACCTCACCCTGTGCAGATGAGGTGGTCACGCACCCAGTTCCAAGGCCGCACTAGCCGCCAGGGGCTTCGCTGGAGGCCAGCAATTACTTGGTTCATTTTCAGTGACCTAAATAATTGTCCGTACAGCGCCCCTGACTACGACTTGCCATTATGCATCTAATAGCCAGGCCACTCTTCTCCATAGAGATAGTCAATGGAAAAGATAGCGAACCTTGGAACCTTCCAGCAGCCATGGGTTCTCCGGGATCATTAGGCAAATGAAGATGGACATACTATTCCTAGTTATCAGAACTTCACAGAGATACTATAATAGTCTACAGAGCATTCATTCGTATCGAAGCCAAGGATATTACTAAGTAATTAATCATTGCGCAATCAATACGTAAGTAATTAAACCTGTGAAAGCCCGGTTCCAAAAACACTTGCCCGCACTTGCCTACATACAAAAACTCGCACAGCACAATTTTGGACGTACTGGTAATGTCCCAGTCGCCACTTTTCCGTGGAAGGGGGTGGTTGCTTTCTTTCCGTGGAAAATGGCTTTCCGGGGAAGCGCATGTTCTTGCATGCCAAGACAAAAAGAGAAGACTCAAATGGACACTGGAACTGGGAGAATACGCTGGTCCACAAATGGTACGGCCCCAGGGCGGAGGCGGCATGTTGATCCTCGCTTTATGTGAGACTTGGTGCCTCTTCCATACTAGCTTAGCCTACCATCAAATCTTCGGTGCGTTAGGCAATTGCTCCATAGGCTGTTTTAAGATAGAAAGTGGTACTCAACGATCGGGGATTTACCTAAGATACAGACTGGCATATACAGTCAAGCGCAAAGGCAGGCAGCAACAAGTTGCTCAATCTCCTCCACAGATGTCACATTACCCAAGATATGTTGATCAGGACGGATCAGTAGCCCCGAACCCGGTGACGAAAGCCCAACTGTAGACAGCCACCAATCGGCTAAAAGAACGAAGTCAGAGCCCACACGGAATGTATGAATCGTCACGGGGACTCCTTTGAAGTCCGCTACAGCCGCCGCCAAAAAGCCGGCTGAGTTATCAGACAGAATCAAGACAAATCCGGTCCCATCGACAAGATCCAGGGTAGAAAGCCTTTTTTGACCCTTGAAGAATATCCATGCATGCGGAAGTCGGGACCCCGGCTTGTTGCTCGGTACATAGACATCGCAGGGCTCCTCTCCCGCGGAAACTTCATCTTCTCCGTAGCGATAACCGATCTGCAATCTGATCGAGTCAAAGTGCTCAGCATTAGCCCGGAGCTCAGTATCAAGGTGCTCCTTCCACCTGTCCCAGTCCTCCGAAGCTGTATCTGTAGGCGGGTTTCGCAACGCGGCCTTCAGGTTCCGTAGCTTGACCTGATTCTTCACGCTTTGATGCGCATTTGCGACAGCCACAGGCCGTCTCTCCTTCCCATAGGTGGCAAGGATGGTCTCGTTGGCCCATCCATTTTCCACGGCCTGAATCTTCCACGCAAGGTTGTGAGCATCTGCGATGCCGGTGTTCACACCTAGGCCGCCTGTGGGGGGAAAGGCGTGGGCGGCATCTCCCACCACAAAGGCTCGTGGGAATTTTCGCGATTGATAGAATCCGGCTGTGCGGGGCCACGTTGACCAGGCCGTAACCGAGAGGATCTCGTACGGTAATCTTTCTCCAATGGCCTGAAGGAGGTTGTGAGTGGTTAGCAGACTCAACCAAACGAGACCCCGTTGAAGGGAATCCTTGGGCATGGAAGCTCACATTATCCAACAGCTCTCGGCAATATTGCTCAGTAAACTTCTCCGGTGATGTTTTCTTCGGGTCATAGTAGGTCACGAAGACCCAGTTGCAAGATCGATCATAGCAAATGAATGTGCCGTCGGCCAAAGGAGAAGACACCCACCATAGAGTCCCCGGTTGGAAGCCGGACAGATCGGCGTTGAAGTGGACCGAGAGATGGTGCACCTTGTTCTGGACATACTGAGGTAACGGCGCGAATGGAATTCCCAGCAGATCCCGGGCGCGCGAGTTGGCGCCACCGCAGTCCAGCACATAACCGCTCGCAACGATCTTTAGATTATCAGTCGCTCGCTCCCTGACATTTGAAACCAGGAGCCTCGGTTCTAGCTGATAACAGCCCTCCCACTGCATACCGCGGCAGAATGTGATGTTCTCGTTGCGTTTTACGGCGCTCAGAAGAAAGTCTTCTAGGCTGGGCTGTGGGATGTTGAACAAAGGCTCCGGTGTGATCTCGAGAGTGTCAGGGCCCTGACGTTCGTAGGGGAGTGTGCCATGCTCCCTGCCTGCCATGGACACCACAAAGCGCACTGTATCACCATCTCCCGGCGGTACACCTGAACTTCGTAGCCCAGGAGTATCAAGGCCCATCTGGCAGAAGATCTCTAGCGACCGAGGATTAATTGCATGGGCTTTGGGCTGTCCGGTGCGGTGATAATGGCGTTCCACAATGATCGTCTTCAGGTCATAACGAGCAAGTAAAAGGGCAGTGGTCAGGCCTGTTGGCCCGCCGCCGATGATGAGGACAGAAGTCTTGGAAACCGGGGGTAGGGTGTCCGCGGTCATGGTGGATGTTGTAGGTCCAGCTGATAAGAGGCGTATAGTATCCTCCTAGAGAATGGACTGATCCCATTGCCCGCTTTAAAGCAAAAACGTCTCTCCGTGTAGACCAATGGCAATCAGGTAGTCGTATGTTGCTATCTAGTCCATCTAGGCACCTCCCCGGGGATTTTGGCACTGTCCCTCGGGTATCGCGACCGTCTCCACGGGCACAGCGATAGCGCCGCAAAATGGCACGGCAATTGACCCACGATGAAAAAGTGAAAATCCTTATTTTCATCTTCCGTGAAAGTCCTAAACGTGATATATACCTTCGACAGCCAACGAAGTTGGTTGCCTATTGCCACATCTGCAGCCCTCGTGCTCTCCGATCAAGATGGCGACCGATTTTGACACTCGTTATACCAACGCCAACCTTGCTAGAGATGCCACCCAATACGCTCCTGAGCTATTCCTCGCCCTGCACGAGAGACTGAGTGAGGCAGTATCCTCCGAGAAGCTCGCTACCGGTATCATTGTGTGTATCGAATTCCTCTGAGCAACGCTTGGCTTTTGCAGCTAAAGTCTCCCAAGGCTGCCATTCTATGTGCCCAATGTCGTGGCGATGTTGTCGCTCGTCTAGTTCACGATATCACCAGCGGCTGGACGAAGGAGGAGGTGCGGGAACTCTTCATTGCTGTCCGGGAGGCCATCACTATCGCAGTACCGTTCGTAGGCCTCCCTAATTGCATGCCCGCTTGCTTTGGCCTGGTGGAAGAATTGAAACAGTGGGAGATTGAGAAAGTCGAGGGGCCTAGAAGGTGGGTTGTGCGACGTTGAATATTACTTTAACTATACCCAGGCAGAGATGAACACACTTACTAACGATTCGGATGTCTACATTGCATAGGGCAAACCTCGGAGAAGTCGACTATACAGCACGAGGACTGGAGACCACCACATCCCTCTACCGGGGGGTTGGGAATTCGGAGGTGCGAACAATGGTCCAGCAATACTTTCCCGAGTTATGTGCGTCAAGTCCCCTATAAGGGAGAGCTGAGGGATGAAACTGGTTACTAACTGGAATTCTGCAGCCTACTTCGGACGAACAACTATCTGGGGTTACCTGGTTGGCTCGAGCCCCGTCTTGGAATTACAGGAAGCCGAGTTGATCGTGGCGGCTTCCATCGCGGCTATCGGAGCCACTAGGCAGACTCGAAGCCACATTAAATGCGCGATATCGATTGAAAATAGCGTGCCAGCTGTGGTTACACTCATCGATACCGTGCGGGAAATTGGCGCGTGGAACGGGAAGCCCATCTCGAACGACTTGGATATCCCCCATTTGGCCGAAGAGCTCGGGCAGAACTTCGCGAATCTGGACTAACAGGGGATGATGTAAAGTACTAGGGTCTACAAGGCTATATGTAGCCTATTCAAGCCAAGCAAGTTGGATCACCCGACCAGTCGGGGTCTTACTTAACCGGGGTAGAGACTACTAGGCGATGAGCAAGAGAGCAGAAAATTTGGGGCGTTGGTACGCCACAATGCAAACGTACTTTGCTTGTCTCAATTTCGTAGAAGAGCCATCATGACTGGGCGATAGGCCACCAAGTAGGAGTTCAATATTACTGTTCTGCCTGAACCTAACTAGCTGACAATTGAAAGGATGGAAACCAAGAATCTGGGGAAATAGAAAGCGGGGTCGGCTTAGAGGAAGGTTTTGGCCCGAGCCAGAGCAGCGAACTGACCGTCTTAACCTCGGGTGCATCAGCCGCGGTGACCTTTCCTCATTGCAGCCTTCGCCTCCTGGCTCCTTCACCGCGCCGGACATCCCAGAAATTCAGTTCCTGTCCATTGGTAACTCTCTCTGCTCCTGGTATGGAGCCCGCACAGCCACCCAGGCGCGTTACTCGCGCGTGCGACTATTGTCGCAAGAAACGGGTAAGTTGCGAGGCACTCTCGAGTCCGGCTAGGCTAATAGCAAAACAGTTGAAGTGCACCGGGCAGCGCCCCTGTCTAAACTGCCAGCTCTACCGGGCGGAATGCTCGACCTCTGAACATCCCAAAGGCCCAGAAAATGCGGGTCGGAAGCGCAAGCGGCCCCTGACCCGGGCACCGGCGAGCGATGATGACGAGACGGAGGAGAGAAGCCGCCCGGCGCCCGTCGTCACCAGCAGTCAAGGGCAACCAGAGACGACTCCCATCCCAGCACGGCGGCCTTCCCAGCCCCTAGAGATGGCAAGTCCGCGAATCGCAACGAGCGAGCCGGAAATGCCACCCCAGGTGGAGATGGCGCCCGACTTTGACCAGTATGCTCAGGACCTGGGCCTGGTTTTTGCCCCGTTTTGGCCATCACATTCGCATTTGCCTAACTCGCTGGACGAGCTAGGGGGTGCTGATGACTCTGTCGCCAGCCATTCATACAACCATTTACCCACTCCCCGGCTCAGTGCAGCGTCAATGCCGTTGGACTTGCCGCCGGCCACATACTCCTCCGGCCATGTTGGGGTGCCAGAGCAGTCGGACCTCCTGGACCATCCCCTGCCTCCACAGTCGGCTCATGAGTTCTTCCTCAAGAAAGGACCGTCGGATAGCAAATTCATCGGGATGGGCTCGGTTGGCTCGACGATTTTTGAGTGCCTGAGACCTTACAGTTGTCACCACGGAGAGTCGATGGAGTCCACAATTCTCAATCATCTAGTCCGGGGGATTCAGCATGTGGATGAACTGGCCCTCTCGAGGATCTTTCAGACACCGCCTCTCCCGGAACGCGACTTTGCCGAGCAGGGGGTGAAATTATACCGCAACTTTGTTCATCTGTTGTATCCCATAATGGAGAATCAGTTCTTCGAAGATTGGCGGCACCTATACAATAATCCAAGCGCACTCTCTGCTGCCGCCTACTCGCGTTTCTGTCTGGTCGTCGCGATCGGGATTCTCGCCTCTCCTCTTCGCTCCAACGACAATAGCATCTGGGAGGCTGCCAAAGGCTTGCAAGAGCAGACCTGGTCCCTCATCGACCATGTTATGGCCAATCCTTTCCTCGAGTCTACCCAAGTCCTGCTTCTTCACACCGTCTTCCTTCTGTACTGCGGCAAAACCGGGATCGCGTGGACGACATGTGGCATGGCAGTGCGAACTGCCCAATCACTGGGACTACACCAACAGACGCCCCCGCAGCTTGAACTAAGCACCGAGCGCGTCCATTTACGAGCGAGGCTGTGGTCGGTAGCTTACACGCTGGATGCCTTCCTCTCGCTTTCCGAGGGTCGACCGCCCGCCACAACGATGCCACCCAACTTAGAGGTCTGCCAGTCCATCTCTGCACCAGAGGACTTTTCTTTGACATCACTAGCTATCGATCAGCCACCACCTGGTGCACAAATTCATGTTTGGGATATCGGACTTGCGATGATTGCAAATGACGTCTACCTGCTACTGAAGGATAGTAACTCATCGCTGCACCGCGCGCTGGCTCGTATCGCCGAGCTCGATGCCCGGCTGCTGGCATGGAAGGAAGGCATACCGATGGAATTCAGGCCCGACCAACAAATCCTGGCAGATGATGCGCTCTATTCTGTTATTGCCATATTGCACTTGAAATATCACAACCTGATGCGTTCAATCCACTGGATCTCGATCACCTTGTCGAGCGAGGCGCCGACCGGCCGACCGGGCCCCTTAGGCGCGCGGGTGAGGTCCAGCGAGGCCATTTGTCTGGCCTCTGCACGGTCGGTGATTGACATCTTGAATAGCACATCTGACCAGAGAATCGCAGGGCGACAGGGTGGCTTTGTGGTGCAATACTGCATGGCGGCGATTGCGATCTTCTACCGGCAGATCATGAAGCATCCCAATCGCAATGGGATGAGAGGAAATTTGGAGCACATGCGCGATGGGACATTGCACATTATGAGCTTGTATGAAGGGATCAAGGCACGGAGCCAGTTCCAGGTGTTGTTCGAGGAAATGTTGAAGACTGCCGAGGGGGTCGTGCAGAAAATGCACACGAACGGTACTAGTGGAATATGAGTTATGGATAATGCGCCGGGGAGGGAGGGGGGTTTGCTTCGTCGTAGTACGAGTATGAATAATGAAGCAATATAGCCCATTGGAAAACCTTGGTCTGTAGAGTATTAGCTTTGGCGTTCACGGCGACGTATAATCAGCATGTCCTCCGGGACCATTCGGGTAGTCCATGGTGTTTAGGTAGTCCAGTGCACATTCCGGGGAGCCTCCGCTTTCCGGGGACTCGATGGCTAGCGATATGGGCATTATGCCATAAGCTATGCTTACCCCATATATAAATTTGTGGTACCATACAAAGTTGTAATATGAAACCAAGGCAATCCTCATCATGGCTGCAAACTTCCGTGATTATATTCCTCCACCTGGTATGGCAGAACATAGCATCCTCCGTCCAATCCATTTAGCTGGAAAAACCAGCAGCCACGCATCAGAGAGTGCATACTAATCCTATCTTAGATCATCCAAAGATAAAAGACCTCCACAAGGTCGATGTCCAGGCTTATGCGACGGAGACGTTGACTGCGCCCGGACCTCAAAAAATTGTATCGAGATGGGTCTCGAAGTTGAAGGAGCCATTCATCGGTATCACAGTGGATGGTACTCGCAGTGAAGGCCTATATAGCCTTGAGGACGAATCGGCCCCAACCGAGCAGATGGTTAGTACGAAACAAATATCTGGCAAGGGGGCGAAAAAATCTGAAGTCGCATCAATATACATAGGTCAACCGTGCCAGTCGGATTCTTCAGTTGTTCGATCCAAGCGAGGCGCAGAAATTACGCCATGATATTGACTCTGAAAACTGGTTAGTAGGCCGGATACACGTATGTCTGACGTCGCAAGGCAACCCTGTACTGATAGATACTGTAGGAGAAAGTGGTCGAATCCCGAGTTCATCATCTACCGCACGGGGGTTCGTCTGGAAGATCTAAATGTGGAGCAACGACAGGCAATTTTCGATCTGCTACAGGCGAGTCTTAGTCCTGTTGGCTATTCTCGGGTTTTAGGTGCCATGCAGACAAATGACTTTCTCGGCGAGTTATGCAACGCGAAAGCGATCCTCAACAGATACAGCTATCAGTAAGACTTTGATTCATTACACTCAGTGGGAGAGGCTTGATTGATAAATCGATTTAAAGGTTCACCCTCTATGGCACGCCATCCACTACCGAGCCCTGGGGATTCTCCGTGTTTGGCCACCATCTGAGTCTGAACATCGTTGCTGTTGGTAATCAGATGGCAGTGAGTCCGATCTTTCTAGGGGCTGAGCCAAACGTAATTGATCCCGTGCTGCTGAGTGTATCCTTCTAATTATGAAAACCAGGTAATTGATTCAGGACCCGACGAAGGAGTTCGAATTCTCGACTCAGCAGGAGAATTGCCTCTTGCATTGATGCAGTCTCTTCCCAGATACTTGCAGGACCGAGCCCAGATATACAAGACCTTGCATGACGAGAAAATGCCAGATGACCGCTGGAACCCTGCAGATCAAGTAAGTAGCCCCCCAAAGAAATGATTGAGAGATAAATCTATTTGTCCTTGCTCATGTGTAAACAGCGACATCTGAGCGGAGCGTTTCAAGATAATAGAGTGATTCCATATGAGGGTATCAAAGCTGAGGAGATGCCACAGCCACAACAGGAAACTTTACTACGTCTGATATCCTTCTACCAGGATATTCTTCCATCCGGGCCGTACAACGCCGGTATGAACCGGATAAAACGACACTGGGGTGAAACTCACTTTTGCTGGATTGGCGGATACAGCGATGAGGATGCGTTCTATTATCGGGTTCAGAGTCCGGTGCTGATTATTGAGTTCGATCATCACTCCGGGGTATTTTTGCTGAATAAGGAACCGGCAAAGTATCACATTCATACAATCATGCGAATGCCTAATGGCAACGATTATGGAAAGGAGTTGATCCGCCTGCATCGGAATGGGCTTCACTGAAGCTGTATGCTACAAAGTGGACAGTTTTGGGACAGGGGCATCCCAATCAATAGATGTATTTCCATCATAGGCACAACGCCTGACTAACACGTACTGGTTGCTAAAGATATGTCGTCCCGGGTTCCCATTTAACATCCTCATTAAGATTGCAGCTTTTAGAGTCCTCAGCGGAGGAATAATCACCGGACAGATGTTTCTCTGACCACATCTAGGCATGTAATCTGGGTACAGGACCACCTTCAGGCATGCATCGAAATTATACCTCGGCCACATTGCAGTGTTGGGCCGAAAACGACCCGAGGGAGTAAGAACACCGGCATATCATCATAAACAACCCCCCCACCACCCACTTCCCTTTTCTGACCAGAACCCAAAAATCAAACGAGACAGAAATAATCATGCATCCCGTTTATACAGAATTGAACAATGCTTCAAAATCTTGATCTTCACAAAGGCCCAGTATATCAAGCAAGGTTGAATCCACTGATGGCTCGCCTGCCATATCTGTATCGGCTCCCATCGCCAAAAATTCCTCTTCCCCAGGCCACAGAGAGTAAATGGTCTCAGGGTCATTCCACAGTTCCTTCAGATCGGCTTCTAGATTACTTTGGATACCCTCGGGTTCCTGAGTGCCCCCTGCTTGGCCTTCACACAACGCGAGTGAGGAATCCAACTCACTTGAGGCATCACCGCTCGGCGAATCAGCATCGGGAATGATCAATGGCCCGGTGTTGTATGGAAATTTTCCTGTGGAAAGCGCAAAATCCAAAGTCTTCAGAACGCGCAAGTAGCAGTCTGGTTGGGTTGAGATTAACTGTTTCCAATCTGCCAATGGCTTGCGAGGTTGGATGCAGGTGAGAATTTTCTCAATTACGTTCATAACTGGATTGACGTTGTTCTGACGAAGTTGGAGGGCCCGAATAAGCTGCAAAAAGCTGTCGGTACGCTTTTGTGATGCAGGTGTTTCTTCTGCAGCCGGGAGAAGTTTAACGCCCATCGAATGCAACACGAAGGGAAGCACGATACACATAACTCTAAGGGAATGGAAAAGAGAGTTAGCTATTGCACTGTCCAGTTTCCTTATTATTCTTCGGGTGACAAGAGAACCATACGCCGAGATCGGTAGATACCCTACCAAGCTCTGTTGCTCCAACGTATGAAGACTGTCGGCAATAGCTTCCACCGACGTCTGGATTGCGCTCCCAGTCTGCGGAAGCGATGCTTTATGCGCAGCACTTCCTAGTGGATGTGCAAAATCAATCGTCATTATTTTGAAGTTGAGAATCTGCACGTATGCAGCACTGGCGGGTCCATGAGCCAAAGATCCGTCACCGTATGGAAAACCGGGCACTTACTGGAAATAGATTTGAACCAGATGATAATGAAGAACTATCATGTCGTTGCGCTTGAGATCGCAGTCTAATGATTCCAATTGGTCATTCGTAGATTCACGCCAGCGTCTCAACGCGCCCGCGCACTCGTTGGACTCTTCTAGTGCACTACTACGGTTATCCAGCTCTGGGGTGAGGACCAACTTCAATATCCGCGTGAGTGGGATGCAAAGGCGACAGAAGGCCAGAAAGACGTGAAGCAGAGCCCGACGAACTGGGAATGGATGTACCTCCGACCGGCAGAGACTATATCTGGCCTGTTCGGAGGATATGATAACTAGTTCTCTTTCTAAGTTTGTTTCCAATATTTGGAGTGGCCGGCGATATCCAAGAGAAATAAGGCGGTCCCACACTATACAAACCCACCAGAGTCGCTTCAACTCAAGCCGGTCAAAGGACAATGTCGTTTGATCCGGAGGTACTAGATAATGCGCACCCATGCTGCGCGAATGCTGAATAGCGATACTCAGCCAGAGAGAGTTGATGGGATTTTCAATCTGTGGAGAGGAGCAGAGGGACAACAACAGACTGCCTTTGATAATGCTGATGGGGTGGCGCTCAGTTTCCATTCGGTACAACAACTGTCATATGTAATGAGCTAGCTATAGGTATGGGCCTTGATTGAAGACTGACCTTGGCACGACGATAGAAAGCTGCACGCGCGTCTCGGCAGTTCGCAAAACCACAGCCCTTGATAGCTCGTCGATCCGCAAATGGACAGGCAGCAAATAAAACTGCCTGAGCAACGAAGAGAGATAATGTCCCCGAACAGGGGTTGTGGCGAGCCTCCTGCCAAAAGGCTGCCTCGTCAAGAACCGGCAAGAGTGGGTTGATATGTCGAAAATATGCATAAATGAGCCTATTCCATGATGCTCGGATGGGAAGACGGAAGCAAGATTGGGAATCTAGATAACAGATCTCGTCCTGTGGTAGCCGCGAAAGAAACCCCGTTTTCATAAAGCCATACGCCTGAAAGGGAATATCAACTGAATAACTAGTGACGCGGCTAATCTCAGGAGCAGCAGGGTCGAACGGGGTTGTAGCATCTTCGTTACAATCATCCGTAGTAGAAGAAGGCGTTGGCTTGGAGGGTGGATACTCAGCGACTGCAGGTGGAGTTTTCGGAGCGGCAGGGAGGCGCCCCATTCTACGCCTCGGTAGGACCACGCACTCTTCATTGTCCAATTCACAGTTGAGGCAAGGATGGCCTCTTCGAGATACGTCGCAACGGACCTTTCGGGAGCGGCATTTGGAACAGGCAACACTTGCCCTAGGAGTCCTGGAATGTTGACGGTTCGACTTCATTATTGCGGTTTGCGCAAAAGGGGGAGGTCCAAGTGTTCGACGTATCTTATGTGTTAATAAGACTAAAGAAGGTATTCTGTACTGACCTAAGCCACCCACGGAACCGAATGCAAGACCTCCTATTCCGGGGAAATGCGGGGGACATGTCGGAGTTCATATCACTTTTCTGATTCATACCGTCATAGAGTCATCTTACATAACATTCATAAAGGGGCGTGAGGGAGGAATACGCGGCTGCAATTACGCAATCTAGCGTAATGAAGGGTGTCCAAGGATAATATTAACTAGGCAGCGACCAAATGGGCCAATGAGGGAAGATGCCAATACAATATCAAAGTATCCTCAACCAGGACCAATAATACCAAACGTAACATCAGCAGGCCACGATAAAGCAATTCAAGCCTCGACATGCTCCGCCATCCCCTTTTCCTGATCTCCCATTCCAGCGTCTGTCGTGGGCGAAGTAGATGTGAAGGTTACGATAGCTTGATCATTTCCGAATAATGCCTCGATCTCTTCCAGGGGAAGGCCGCGCGTCTCCGGAAAGAAGACGGCTATCAATATCATTCCAAGAAAGGTGATGACGGCAAAGACCTGAATGAAGGATCGCATTAGTATGCCAGTTCTATACGGTGGAGAAGGGGCGTGGAAGCAGCAGAGGCAGTCTTACCAAGAAAAACTTCCACCCAATAGAGGCCACGGCTGTACTAGTCACAGATAAGTAGATTGTTGATGCCACATTCATTGCAGCAAGAGAAAGGCCTACCCCCTTCACCCTGATATGGTTGGGAAACATCTCTCCAAGGTAGACGTATGTGCCCACGTCAATACCTGTACCATAAAAGACAAGGAACAAGTAAATGAACGCTACTCCAGCATTTTTACCGGCGGAATTGTCTGACTCTGCGTATAGCGCCACCATGATGCCCTCGAGGAGTACACAGGTGAAGCAACCGAAAAAAGCGAAAAGAAGAATGGCTTTTCGTCCGATACGATCGACGATCCAGGAGCCAACAAAATTACCCAGAAACGCAACTGACCGGAAACGTGAGCAAAGCTAAACCATGGACCAGGGTGAAGTCTTGCAAACTCACTAATGTCCCGGTTCCCTTGGAGGAGCTGGCTTGCGGATGGAGAGAAACCGAGCTGCGAGTAGAACGTCTGGCCGTAATTGTTGATCACAAAGACACCCGTGCTCTGGTTTAGTACGGCAAGTGTACAGCCCAATATTATCCGCCTAAGGTAGGTGGGTGTTGTGAAAAGACCCTTCCACGATGAATCGAGCATTCGGTCGTAAGCGGCTTGCTGTTTGATCTGGCTGAATTCTTCGTCCACATATGTGTCGTGTGCCGGTGTCCCTGATCGTGGATTAAGTTTGTCAAATACGCGCTTGGCTGCGTCTGGCCTGTCTTGTAGGAGGAGATACCGCGGGGACTCTGGCACAAACGGCATCGCCAACAGGACTGCAATAGGGGCGAAAAGTGGGATACCCATCGGTGCCCGCCATGAAGCCGCCTCGTTGTCACAGAAGTAGAATCCCATCCCTACGTAAGAGGCAGTCGCAACGCCCAATCCAATCATCACGCCGTTCAGTCCAGCATATAGACCTCGATGCGAGGGGGGTGAGAGCTCGGGGATGGCAACGGACGCTGTCATTCCGTCATTCCAGCATCAATATTCGGGGCCGTTGGAAACCAACCTGCGGCACCGCACGCCCATGTTCCAAACCCGGAGATGAAGCGAAAGACTAAAAATTCTGCCACATTCATGGATCCTGTCATGCCTCCCAGACCTGCGAGTGATATGATGGATCCGAATGCAAGGCCCGCTTTGCGACCCCATTTTGTCATCACGATGGCACTGATGATAGTTCCGAATATGGCACCTGCCTGTGCGAAACAGAATAATATATTAGTGATATTCCGACTTTATCGGCTTTCCAGCAAACTGACCTGGAACAGACCAACGATAGCCCCTTCCAACGAGCCATACCTGGCTGTCTCATTGCCATCACTGTCCCAAAGGCCCATTCGCTGCATGAAGTCGGGCTTCTCGAGAGTGGTTCCAATGATTACGGACTCATAGGCACCAACGAATTGTCCAAAGGAGATAAGTACACAGGTAAAAAAGGTCGGCCAGTGTATTGGTGACGACGTCGGTTCAGTCATCATGACGGGGTGTGAGGGATGATAATGGTGGTCGGAGCGATACAGTCGAACAAGATATATAAGGACTCACCCTCATCAGCGTCTCTTGTTATATACTGATGTCCACTTTGGCACGGACCCGTCCGACCTTCAGCGGAGACAACAATCCGGGGCACCCCAAAGACTGGGGAAACACCAGTAGAGTTCAGCAGGATCGCTAGTAGGTGCGCCACTAACTGTTTGTTGACCTGCCCGAACATGTCGATCTTGCCCCGAGACTGATAGGTCACTGGGGCTGTCATTCCGTGGCACCTTCTCTAGTTCATACACAGGCGTCACGCATGTTACGCTTGGACTAACTTGGAGAAATGATTTTGCCCTGGACGTAGGGGAATTCATACAGGATAGCAAAAAGACTGCTTGGAACGGATGCGTAAATGTCATGGTGTTTCATTTATTTACATCATGTCGGAAAAATCCAAATCCTTCACCTTTCCACCAACGTGCCTTGCGGATACCATCTAGAGCCAGAGCTTTACGTCTGTGTATCTCACGCCGTAGGGTCAGAGGTGGTAAAACAGGGTCGAAACATGCCATGGCAGGGAGTGCTTACTCAAAAGACAGCAACGTAACCTCCAGCTCGTCATAGAATGAGGCGTCTGGTAATCGTACAAAAAGGGTGATAGGGATTTCCACTTCCCTGTGTTCGGGGACGAAGCACCACAAAGCCTGCACAGCTTCTGCCTCCTGTATTTCGCTACACAGTATCTTTTCCTCGGCCAGGAAGGCGGCAAGGCTCTCAGAGCACCTGGCAGTATATTGTACGAATATAAAGACGTTCCCCGGACTGACTGACTCAGTCGCTCCCGTTCTGGTCAGAAATCCCGATCCAACCGGTTCAAACAGAGGCACGCCGCCTTTGGGGAAAGTAATTAGTGCAGTCGAGGTGATGACTTCCCGCATCTTGAGGTATGGCTCGCTGCTCCGATGGACGACTGCAAGAGCCTCAGGATCTTTGTATCTACAGACCCCAAACACAAAGGGCGCAACTTAGCAAGACCCGAAACAGTAATACTGACACAACACACATACACCTCAATACCCTGCACGAAGACAGGACCATCTGGGGCATCTTCGGACGTGTAGATTGGTCGAGTCCAACAATAGGCTAGACATTCGTGCTCATTTGCCTGTGTCTCATGTGCGACTTCCCGGACCAGGGACAAGTACTTTCCCACGGTAAGGTTAATGTCTGGCCTAAGGATGGGAGGAAGGACCTAACCTTTTCACGATCGTCGGCGGATCCTAGAGCAATGTAAGGGTTGACAATGACCGCCATCTTCGAAGCCATATACGGTAGGAATATTGAATTGTGACTCTGCAGTCTCTTTAAGCAATTTGATTGATGTGGCATGATTCACCCAAAAGGTAAAAAGGCGCCAAGCAAGATTGCCGGGCTGTTGCCGAACTTTCTGCTTGCTCGGCTACACTCTCTTCCCCTTCTCCCGGGGACCGATCCTCCGTAAGACGGAGCATCCGCTTCCATGGAAGCCAAGATTCTCGGTGCGCCCGCGGCGGTGAGCTGTGCAACACTGGTGCCTTTTAATGAAACGCAGCGCATGACTCCTATGGACAAGCCTCTGCATCACCATGTCTCCGAAGCTAAGTCACGATTTTATTCGGCAGCTTGCAGCGCATGGAGCGAGTAATCTGCGATTCAAATGGTTTGTCACTGTAGTTGTTGCTCTGAGCTCTTTCAATTACCCGGAGGAGATTGGGCCGTTGTATCAGCACCTTCTTGAAGAATATATTCCCGTTGAAGATCATGCCGCAGCAACTCGGAAAATAAGAGAAGCCCTGGTCAAGGCGGCCGGTCTACATGGCGCAGCCAAAGTGAGTTTCTGATTTGCAGTTCTAATCGGCCCGTGGAGCTATATGTTATGCTGACCAGCTATTTCGGCAGACTGGAAATGCCGTGCGAGAACTATATCACGCTACTCCTCCTCATTTGATCGACAATACCTGTTATCGGTATGTCTTCCCAGCTCTTAGCCGACATCCCGGATTAGAACATGGCTCATTCTCGCATCAGTGATGACGATGAACATACGGCGGCCGTAGCTCGAGGCGATGCGTTCTTGAAGAGCCTATACCGGGATGTCCCGGATCTAAACACAGAAGATGATTTTGTCCGGAAATGCTGTCCGGACTATTTCTATGTAGTGTCTCGTCCGTCACCCGTGATATTTTGCTCCCTTTGTTGTGAGACGATTTAGCAGGTAACGTGTCTCTTCGCTGACGAGTGACTGGCAGAACTCCTTTACCCGCATGTATTTTCCTTCGATAAGATCTTGGACAAGCTTGAGTCCAGCCAGGCAATCATTACAGCACTGATCAGCATTGACTGCAAAGGGCAGGCTCGTAACCACATGAAGGGAATGATGTGGAACGGCGCAACCCGGCAAGAAGTCGCCAATATACGAGATTCAATCGTGCTTTTGGCGAGATACCTGGGCGTCCAATTCCGAGATGGACCAGTTCTTGTGCCGGATGATCCCAAAGAGGCCTAAGAACTCAGCGCTCGCCTAGGTTGACAGGTTATAATGGCGCGTTGTCTTCTGTCTTTATTTTATTTCTTTTCCTAAACGGGAAAGGCCATAAGCGCCGATTTGGAGTACATCCGTAGTCTCCAAACGATGTCACTGATTGGTCACACATTGTCCTAGACAAATATGAACACAAATGAATACTGTTCGATATATGGTTGGCTTATCCTTTAATCTGATACAGCCAGTGTATTTTTCCCCAGTCGCTGACGGCTAGTTAGACCCTCGGGTTGGAGGTTGCCAAGACAGGATCTATCGGTATTGGCACATATTGGCCAGCGGACTGGACTATATTGTACCATAGAGAAAATCAATATAGAAATCAAGAAAGCAGCAACTTCTTCACATTATGATAACCACATGGGTAGCCGTTCGGCCTCCATTCACTCGGCTCAGTTCTGTAATGTTTGGTGTAGCGGATCAGCTTGAACCTGCTATATACCAAGAAGTCAAAGTCTACCCCGACTGACTTTACCTTTTACCACGACTATGTCCATTTTGGTCACCGGTCATCGGAATCTTAACTTGCGATTGGTTCAGGTTCACGCACAACCTGTCAGCCGCAGTGTATCAATGAGGGTTTAGAACATACATTAGATAGAAGAACTAGACAATCTCTGAAGGTAGAGGATATACCGGTTTGGATAATTGGGCTAAGAACATTGAGGGGGGCTACCGCAAGCCTTGAACCTAATGCATGGGTGAGCTCCTGTCCCCAACTGAATACCAAGGATGGCTTTCGGCCACCTCAGAAAGCTACTACCCTACGACCTAGAAGGCCAATCCTTCCTCTCCATCTCTTGGATAGTCATCACCCGTTCCTTTCGAGGAATAACCCAACAAGCTACACGCTCGGGGACATCATCCACTTGCACATCAGATCTGAGCCCTTCTGCAAGAGCGTCTGCTCCGGTGATCGACTGGGATGTTCCTGGTAACTCAACTGCAATTGCTATCAGCTGCCGTGTTGATGCCAGTGATTTTGGAGAGAGCTTACAAGGAAGGAAGGGGTGTGCGGCATCACCAATGAGCATTGCCCGGCCGAGTGTCCACTCTTCTACCCGGGGCAGGTTTGGATGGAACCAGGATTTGATGTCTGCAAGCCCCGCTGCGTTCAATAGCTCTGTTAATGGGGAATTGATAGAGCCAAACTCTGAGAGGAGCGCATCTTTCAATCCTTTCTCCGAAAGCTCTGCATCAGGTAAATTAGTGGTTCCAGTGAGTCACACTCAGCCTTTAGACCTGAAATCAACACTCACCCGTTACGCTCTGTACCGGAAGTGCTGTGTCTATAAGAATGGTGCGTGGCTCGATCGAATAAAGTTTGAGTTCGATGTTCGGCCCCAACCATTTCTCATAGTGAGTGGGTTGGGTGCAGAATCGCTGCACAATCCGATTATCCTCACCAGTATACACGCTTAGGTGGACGGTCACCTCTGCAGGAGCTGGAATGGTCGTATCATTGTGGGGGAAAGCCTTGCGAGCAATCGACTTGAAAGACTTGATTTAACTACTTCCATAGTAACCTTGGATTCGGATTGGGATTGCAAACTCACATTCCATCCATCAGCACCAATGATAATATCCACATGATAGGTCTGGCCTGCCTGGGTGACGACTAATCCAGCCTCTGGATCAATTGCTTTGATTTCGGTGTTCAACAATATGTCGACTGGTCGCCCTGCCCCCGTTGGGGCAGTGGCTGACCTAAGTAGAGCTCCATGCAGTCTGCTGCGCTGATAATAACTCCATCCAAGCTGATTACAGGATACGCCATATCAGTGATCTGCTTCCAAGAATTGACGACAGTTCCCTTACTGGCTTGGGTGCTTCCTCGGTCCTCAAGAGAGTCCCATCATGACCGAATACAGGAATCTAGTTATGTTAGAAACGTACTCCATCTTCATATATCACCCTTCTTGTACCTTGTCGATCAAGACCGGTCGCGCCACCTCGAGATTAACCCCCCATTTCTCCAAAATCTTATTTACCTTGGGCCCAATTTGGGCAACAGCCCCATCGGTGTCTCCCGCTGTAAGCTGTGATGCTTCAAAGACCTTGGAATATCAATACAAGACAGCACCATGGCAGAAGCTCTAATGTATAAAGCACACTCACTTGGACTGCATGGCCAGCCCTGCGCAAGGACAAGGCAGAAGCCAGCCCAGCTATGCCAGACCCGACAATGGCAATATTGAGCATTGTCCCGTCTGGTTTAAAATGAGCAGTTATGTTAGTGTAATGGAATAATGCTCGAGAATGCGGATGGGCAATCGTGTTATATCGTCTTGTGAATAAAGTAGCATCAATCGCCATGTTAATTGGCATCTCTCGATTGGCTCCATGCTGCGGGGTCGGATCTTCCGTGGGTTATAAGCTGCGTAATCATAGTAATACTTCCCGGGGATCTCGGAGGATTCATTCTTTAAGCATGCTAAGCCATGGTTTTGCAGCCTCGATTGGAAGGGAATCCATAGACCACTTTCAATCTTTCATGCACACCCTACACAAGCAATTATTATATCATTTGAAATGCCTACATATCTCCTCCTTTTCTTTCAGACGCCCAACGTATTGGGTGAAGGGTTTTCGTCCTGGCGGAAAAATATTTTGTCAGAATTGACTGAATTCTCACCCCTTTTCTACCTGAATGCTGACGACCCGATCACCCCGATCAATAAATACCGGCATGTCAACGTTTACGAGGTTGAAGGCGATAATACTGCAGACTTACGACGGATAGATGAGCATCTGCAGCTTCACTCAAATGAGGGTCACCTAGTGGGGTACCACTGGCAGCTGCACGATGGGATATCCAGGTTACGCCAATCATCGCTTTCTACGACCACGGTTGTCACGGTTGGATTGACCATACCCGACGACAATGAAGCCATCCAAGAATTGAATCAATGGTATGAGCTCGAGCACATGCCTGGACTAGCGACTGTGCCGGGCTGGTTGGCAGGAATGCGTATGAAGCTGGCCCATGCTTCGGACCAATATGACGTAGCTGCAGCACCTTATCTTGCTATCCATGAATGGAGAGAATGTAATGGGCTGGGCGGACCTATTTGGAAGAGGGCAGTCATGACTCCGTGGACAGAAAGAATTTCGGGGCTGCATACGGCACCTCCTTACCGTCGTGTTTGGGTTGTCTGCAATTAGATTATGCGGCGTTTGGGTTGACGCGCTTAGGCCTCCTAGTAGAAATTTATCCAGGATAATAAATTTCAAAAGCCAAACCGGTGCCTACCTCCAGATCCCCTTTTCCGTGGAAGAACCGGGACCCCCGGGTAAAGCAATAACTCGCCCACTGTTACATAGGTCGCACAACTGCCTCGTTCAACAGGCCATCATATTCTGTTTCAATGCCTTGTCTTGACCACTGCAGTCCGAGAAATATGTCCTCCCCCCTAGCCCGACCAATTCCTAGCTTCGATGAGCTGCCTCTCCGAGCCGGCGACCCTCATCATTCCGCCTGGGGGCTTTGGAAGAACCCGGCCTTGGGAGCATTGAATCATCTCACGGATGACAAGGTCTTGAAAGCGGCCAAAGAGGAAATTCAAACGGGCGAGAGGGTAACATTGAAGTGAGAAATCCAGTACGTTGACTCCAGAATTGAACTCTGACCTATCCAAAGCCTTCCTCTAGACGCCGTGAAGCCCGCCCTGTTGGGACGCATTAATTTCGAGCAAAGGATGATTAACAAGGCGCCCCGTGTCATCAACGACGACATCGCAAGTACCAATAATCCTTGGCATGTCGCTTACAGAACGACTGACTGATTCGAAGATCACGTTCAACACCCAAACCAGTGCTCAGTGGGATTCTTTCCGTCACTTCGCGTACCAGGCCGAAGGAAAGTTTTACAACGGGTAAGTCATTCATGATCGTTCCCCAGTACCGAGTTTTAATTTTTCGCAATAGGGTCACGCAAGATGACATCCATTCTGGCCCCGATCGCGGGGTAAACGGGATTGACGGCTGGGCTGGAAAGGCGATCGCTGGACGTGGAATCTTGATAGATTATCACTCATGGGCCTCTGAGAAAGGCTTCCAATACGATTCGATGAGCACCCACCCGATTGGCGTAGAAGAGATTGAGCAGATACTTGCCGCAAGAAATATCGAGGTTCGGCGGGGCGACATTCTGTTCTTGCGCACCGGCTATGTCTCTACATATCTCAGCTTCGACACTGCGACCAAAGAATCATTGCTTGGTGCGAGCCACAATTGGCCTGGGCTTAAGCAAGGGGTAGAGATGACTCGCTGGCTGTGGGAGCAACAGTTTGCCGCCATCGCAGCGGATAGTCCAGCTCTGGAATGCATACGTAAGTCATACTCGTGGTTATAAAATTGAGACCTTGCATTGATATGCTGATGTCTGACATGACAGCACCCGTGGATGAGAAATGGATGCTTCATCCCATCCTGCTGGCCGGATGGGGAACGCCGATTGGCGAGCTGTTCGATCTGGACGCACTGGCAGACTTGTGCAGGCGACGGAACCGCTGGTCCTTCTTCGTGACAAGCGTTCCGCTCAGCTATCAGGGGGCTGTGGCCTCTCCACCGAATGCAATGGTGGTGTTTTAATGGTGTTGCATATGTGGTGAGTATAACGCTGGCAGTTGATCCCAAGGTAAAGATCAGGAGCTGATTGGATTGTATGTATATGATCTATCTAAATCGCAACATGGCGTGTTGATGATGGTACCACGCACGCAGAGGTGGTGGAGGGTCAGATGATGCCTGGTTACAATGAGTGTCTTGACAGTTGACTTGGTAGATTAGTGGACTGGGTAGAGCAGAGCCTGGCGTGCGCTTTAGTCTTGCTCGTTTAAGTCGTAAAGTAGTGGGTCTAGTGAGAAGAACGCTGCGCAATCGCGACCTTGAAGTGACATGTCTAGCATTTCAAAATTCTGTTCCTTTAGTCACTGGCAAGATTCCGGCGCTACGTAAGTTTAGTGCACCTGGCACCGGATGACTACATCCGGGGAATATTGGGCCGGACGCCGGGCCGTGGAGCAAAGTGACAATAAAACTAGCGGCCAAACATCCCCGTCAGTTCTATCCTCTAGACAACCAAGATTTAACCGGGTAGACAACCTGCGCCGAGATAGCCAGCATCATCTTTCTGCAAGCATCACAATGGTTTCATGGACACACTTGATCCGATTCGTTGCCATTGAGGACCACCAGATTCACCTGGGACAGCTTGTTGACACGTCTCGAGATGTCGGTCAAGATTCGGTCAATGGAAAGGACATAGCTGCATATCTTATCGACGGTAATGTATTTGATGGCCGAGTCACTGACCAAATATACCATGTGAAGCAGGTGAGTGAGCCACTTCGGGAACGAATCGGAATATGCGGAAAGGCTTGAAAAGCATAGATCCAATAGACTCACTGCCATCAAGTTGCTGTCGCCGATATCAGGGGAACAATGTGACTACATTCGTTGTCTAGGACTGAATTACGCAGACCATGCCAGAGTATTTTACCCTGTCCTCTACCCTTCGATGTGGTTAGGGGCTGACTTACCATGTCAAACATGGAGGAGTGCAACCTCGAGCTACCAAAGGCCCCCATACTCTTCACAAAACCTCGTTCGGCGCTGTCTGGTCCGTATCCCGCACCAATCAACATTCCCAAGTGTGCCCAAGATGGGACGAGTGATTACGAGGCCGAGCTCTGCGTTGTTATCGGCAAGACAGGCAGGGATATCCCTGAAGAAAAAGCTCTAGATCACGTTCTCGGCTATACTGCGTCCAACGACATATCGGCGCGTGGCTTCCAAAGGGTCAATGCACAGTGGTCTTTCTCTAAAGGACTTGATGGGAGTTGCCCCATAGGTTGGTTTATTCCGTGACACAACTTGACTTGCACCTTACTGACAATTGCGCAGGCCCTGTCCTCGTGGCTCCGTCGGTTATCCCGGACCCGCAGAAACTGGTGATCAAGGCTATCTATAACGATACGGTCGTTCAAGATGGTCACACAAGAGATATGATCTTCAATGTGAAGAAGCAAATTTCATATCTTTCGCAAGGTACTACACTGGCAGCCGGGTCTCTCATTCTTACAGGAACGCCCGCCGGCATTGGCTGTTTGAGGAAGCCTAAGGTAGTGCTCCAACACGGTGATTCCATCTGCATTGAAGTCGGTCAGATTGGGACCCTGGTTAACAAGGTGCGCTACGAGGAACGGTAGCGATTGGATGGAGTTTAACGAACTGTATAGTTCTCAATTTGAAAGCGTCATTGTCTCCAGACTGAAAATTTATCATCAATTTCTATTAACCCCTATCGAATTACAGTTGTAGTGAATTCCAGTTTGACATGTATCATTTGTCATGCTTTAGGACTGTATCTACGTAAATGAAAGTTCTTCCTGATGAGATGAATTACAAGTATTACTGCCAGTTTACCTTCGAGAGATTCATTCAATATACTTATCATGCATGATTATGATGTCGTTTTATCCGGCTTTGGTCGAATTCGGCCTAGTTTGACTGGACACATTCCACATATAACACATGAAATCACACGTATATATATATTTACATATGGATACTGACCATGAGTGGAACCCAAGTAGCACTGACTGAAAATAATCAATTTCTGTCAGGAGTTAACTTCTCATCATCGTTTCTTGCGTATTGTGATTCTTATCTCAGATAAACTCCATCCGCATGGTAATCGATACTTGCAATACATATAATCATGGACTGAGAATAGTGGAAGTGAAATAAACAGATTCACCATTGCTACCAGAAGTTCTGGCCAGCAATCTTACGCAAAACGTTGGAAAAAGAGGATCAAATGTCTGCCGATAATGTGTCCAGTTAAGGGCATACAAAGGACCAATCACCAATCAAAGAGCATCTAGTCATGGATATCTGGAGGCACGAACAGACGCCAGTACTGCTCGAAATCCAATGTCTGCGTGGTGCCAATGGTCCCTCCCATCGTTTCCCTTTTTGTAAATCCATTACCAAGGTAGGAGAAGCGGTTGGTTTTTGAGAGCCTTTCGATATCAAAGTCCTCCCAGCGTGGGTTTTTGATTGCCTCCATGAAGTGAAAAGTGGTGCCACCGTAAACGGCAACCACGGGACCATCGATAGTTCCACGCTTATACCAGCTTCGGCAGTTTCCTGTCCAGACCGTGCGCTTCAGATATGTCTGCATATGCTCATTGTATTCATCATTCACGTCGTGGCGAACCGCGAAGCTGCGGATATCTTCAGTCTGGAGTTTGTCCAACCACTTGTATATGTAAACGGCCGTCATTTGTATCCCAAGCACGAGCGATCCGTTACTAATTGTACTGTTTGGGCCAATGAACGAAAAGTAGTTCGGCATGTCCGGTACCGTGAGACCAAAGTAGGCCTTGGGAAGTTCGGCTGTCCACTTGGTAGCAAGGTTCACGCCTCCTCGTCCAATGAGGGGGAAAGCGGGACAAAAAGAAGTATCAAAACCGGTAGCGCATACTATAACATCGTACTCCTTTTCCTCGCCTGATCTCGTCAGAATACCCTTCTCTGTAATCCTTACAATATCGTCCCAGCGCAACTCGACGTTCACTTGAGTTATAGCCTCTAGGAAGCCAGGGCCGGGAGTCAAACGCCGACATCCGACAGGGAAATCGGGCAACAGAAGCTTTGCAGCTTGCTGGCCTTTTGCAGAATTCCCTAGCCGTTCAATCATTATCTTGCGGAATAGCTCCTGAGCCTTCAGCTGAAGGTCGCTGTCAGCAATGAAACGCTTGAAGTTGCTGCTTCGGCGATCCATGATCGCAGCACGATAGTCTCGTAGTGTTTTCGGGTCTCTAAAAATGTCAAGTGTCTTTTCCGTAAAATTCAACTCGGCATCCATCTCAGGGTCGCTGCCCGTTGGCTCATTGATTCCAGGCGCAGGAGATATCCAAGTCTGCGTGCGGATGTACACATCCATCGAGTCAACTATGTTGGCTAGTTGGGGAACAATCTGAACGCCGGAGGAGCCAATACCGATGTTGGCCACCTTTTTACCGGTAAAATCGAAGTTTTGATCCCAACTGGCTGAGTGAATGAGCTTTCCCTTGAAGTCCTGAAGCCCTTCAATATTCGGCCATTTCCAGTTGCTGAACACCATTGGCTGTCAGTTATCCTGGGATTTGAAGTCCTCGTTATGGGAATACTAACTTTAAGACTCCGCCAGCATTGACAAACACATCAACCCTGTCTTGAACAATTGTTCCCTCAGGTGTTCTCACTTTAATATCCCAATTTGCGTCCTCCTCGTTCCAGATAGCGGACGTGATGGCATGCTCATACTTGATGAATCGATGGCAATCGTACTGGCTAGCCACCTTATGCATATATTCATGGATTTCCTCCGACGAAGCATAATAGTTTGGCCACTCGGGATTCGGTGCAAAGCTGTAGGCATAGTTGTGAGCCGGGATGTCGCACTTGCAGCCAGGGTATCTATGCTACGCAGTCAATATCTCTGTCACGATTCATCCATACAAAAGCTCCAGACTGACGGGGCCGCCTTTCTGTCTAAGGTAGGACGTACCGATTCTCGAGCCAGGTTCCTCCGAGATCTTTATTGCGCTCATAAATGACTAATTCGGCATTTTTGTCTTTCATCTGTTCGCTAAACATGATACCCATCATGAGCCCCGAATAGCCGGCACCCATACATGCGACCCGGATGGGGCGTCTGGTGCGGATTGGCTGCTCGTGTATTTTGTAAGAGGCATCTCCCCCTACCCCGTCGGTGCCCCCATTACCGTTGTATAATCCGTTAGTCTCGTCGAGTAGGTCGGAAGAAAGCATGGTGACGACTCAAGTTTTACACAATATGAGTTGTCTAGCAAATCGGATACTCAAATAGAAAAGGCCATTTATCTTGTTATGTTATCGTAATTATACTCCTGCAAGCAACCGTCAGTTTGTCCCGAGTATTTGTTCATCCCAGGGTTGGGATCCGGAATCCGTGGGCCAGAGTCTTTACCGAGGCGCATCTCGGGTCAATGAGAAGTGGGGAATCATCCACGGATAGCAAGTTTATGTGCGTCTCTGCCACAGGTACTGATTGCCTTGCCTGCGCCGGCGGCATGACTAGCTCCCGTCATTCTACGGACCATGAATTTCCGCCAGTACGCTGGAGCCTAGTATCAAATCACTCTCTTGGACAGGAGATAAGGCATTCCCCATACAACCAACGATCTCCCTTGCAAAGTCCTTACTAACTGGGTCTGGCGCGGACTTTTCGTGTGCTTGCTTGCCGGGTATACTACTGTATTATAGGTGATACATTTGAATATGATTCATGAGAAGAGGGGAGCCTTATATCTCTAGCATATTTCATGGCTGAAACGGTTCTACTATCTGTAGGATCACAATCGACCACGAATTGGCTGGGTTTCTGTCTGGATAACAGGCAAATCACGGCGAATCACCTTACCACTCCCTGTCCGCGGAATGGCATCAAGGAAGTACACACCACCAGTCAGCCATTTGTGAGGAGCGAAGTGCGACTTGATCATCTGCGCAAGGTCCTCCTTTGTAACGGCCCCTTTTTTGCGAACTACAAATGCGCGTGGGTACTCTCCTCCGTTTCTGTACGATTAGTCAGCTAGAAACACCCAGGTTCGAGATGGTATACGCCTCTTTGTTGCCGGGGGGATCAAATGGGTGCATCGCGGTGAGGATATATCACTCACATCTTAGCTCCAATGACGGCCGCGTCAGCAACATCAGGGTGGGTAAGAAGATATTGCTCGAGTTCAGCAGGTGCGACTTGAAGGCCTTTCACCTTTATTAAGTCCTGTTATACGTATGTTAGTAAACATCCTACTGGGAAAGTGTAGTCTAAGCATATCCGACCGACCTTTAAACGGTCCACAATATAGATGCAGCCGCGCTCATCAATGTATCCGATGTCGCCGGTTCTCAGCCATCGGACTCCGTCGGCAACAACTATAGCTTCTTCAGTTGCTTTCGGGTTCTTATAGTAGCATTTCATTATGTTCGGCCCAGCCACCCATATCTCACCTATAGTAGCACCGGCAGGGGCAGCACCGCTGAAATCTCGATCCTCAAGGCTCTCAATTCTCGCCGCACAGTTTGGGTTCAGCCACCCAATAGATCGTCCATCGTCTTGATCATCCGGGGCAAATCCAGTGATTGAGCAAGTCGTCTCCGTCATACCCCATCCCTGCTTGACGGATACACCGGCTCGGAGGTACATTCTCTCAATGACACGGCCAAGATCGGGGCTTAGTGGGGCAGATCCACTGAGCACTGTCTCAATAGCCCACAAGTTGTAGATCGAAGGGTTCGGCTGCTTGGCGATGGTTGCCATGATAGCCGGAACAGTCGCCATAAAAGTGACTCGGTAAATGTCCAAGTACAACAAGTATTGCTGGACTGAGAATGACTTCATGATGAAAACCTTGGCCTGTAGTACGGCAGCATTGACACAATAATATGTTTGTCCCTGGGAGAACGCCCGGTTAGTGTTAATCTTAAGAACTCATGAGCACACAGGCCAGCAGAATCTTACGTATGCATGATACATGGGTAGGGGTGCCAGCCATCTCTCGCCTGAAATGTCAAGCCTCGCTCTACGCTCGTTTCCAGTCTGAGTCTTTGGCGGGAGAAGACGCTTTTCCAGAAGCTGAGTACAATTTGCGACAAGGTTGTAGTGTGTAATTTCCACTCCCTTGGGTAGACCTGTTGTTCTTGTAATTCTTAGCGGACGTAGACTTGTACCAATAGTCGCCACAGACGTCAGCTTACCCGCTGGAGTAATTGATAACCGCGGTGGTTTGCTCTGCCTCCTGCGGGGTATCGATGGCCTTCCATGACCATGTCCGGATCTCCTCCACGGGTCGCCAGATGTCGGTCCATAGCCGAGTGGTCGAAGTGATGCTTGTTGATATGACCTCATCAGGATCGCAGAAGAGATACACGTTCTTGTGACCAAGACCCGCTTGAGCCGCGGCTTCCAAAGCCACGCAAGCCTGCTTCTGGCCGGTGAACAGGATCTTGGCATCGGAATTCCGAAGTTGATAATCCAGCTCTACCGATGCAGTCAGCATAGGAGGCTCAGAGAGATGTCCGGGAAAGGCGCGACACTCTCACCTCTGAGAGATGCACTAGGTGAGGCCGCCGTGAAAACACAGCGTGCAGCAAGAACTCCCCAAAGAAGGACAGGGAAGTAAAGGCGATTCTCCGAGAACAGGAGGATTTTATCGTCTGCCCCAAGCCCGAGGTCTTGTAGGCCCTTTGCGAATTGCTTGACCCATACCTCAGCCTGCGCCAAGCTAAAACACTTTGATGGAGAAGCGGCATCAAAGTACTGTGGTGACTCGCGCGAACTCGCAGTTCCTGAGTTGAAGACAAAGGAGGCAACATCCGTATGAGGGATGTGCACCTGACACGGTGATTCGATCATTGGAGTGCGTATCTATGAGACTGTCTGTGGAACGATTGCTGTAGGAAGGACCAGTAGAGGATACTCATTACACTCTTGACATAGGTTTCATTTGCATTTGACAAATGCAGATTCTAAAGTCATAATCTGACCGCGTTGAGTGGACCCCTCGCTAGCGGTCCCCGGAATAGCTGTGCTTGGGAGGATCTGCGGATGCAATGCTTTGTAGGCCCTTTCCGGGGATATGACCTTCAGAACCGTCAGAGTCGCTGATTCCTAGGAACTTCTATAGCCTTGCTTCGACATTTGTCACTCCTCTGGACCACAGTACTAGCGCCGGCCGAAGACTATATTCCGTATACTCCGAGGCAAAACAAATGAATATTGGCAAGGCGGTTACGAATCGAGCTCCAGGTGATCTCCAGCCGAGCACATCCCCGGATGCTCCATCCGTCGGTGATGTTCCATTAACAACAAAGAAAAAGACAAATTGCGCAGCACAGCCCATGATAACAACCCATCAACAACTAGCCACAATGGGTTCCTCATTTCAGTCACCGCGCGCTATCGGGGCGCCCAAGATACCATACTACACGCCCGTCAACAACCCCGGTGCAGCTGTTAACCCAGGCCCCGAAACCCCCACCCTTTTCCGACCGCTCTGCATCCGCGATGTCACCCTCAAGAACCGTATCATCGTCGCGCCAATGTGCATGTTCTCTTCTGAGCATGAACCCAGCTCCCCCTATGTCGGGGCACTCACGGATTTCCACATCGCACACTTGGGCCATCTTGCAACCAAGGGCGTGGGCCTCGTGATGATTGAGGCGACGGCCGTGCAGCCCAACGGTCGGATTTCTCCCAACGACTCCGGTCTTTGGCAGGAGGGAACAGAGTCTGGTCAGTTCAAGGCCCTGCGTCGGGTAGTGAATATTGTTCATAGCCAGGGAGCCAAGGTCGGCATCCAACTTGCCCATGCCGGTCGCAAAGGGAGCGTGGTCACTCCCTGGTTGGGTGAGCGCGGCATCCCTATCAAGGCTGACGAGAGCGTTGGAGGTTGGCCTGCAGACGTGGTGGCTCCTACTGGTGGCGAGAAATATAAATGGGCACCAGGGGAGACTAAATACTGGGCGCCAAGAGATCTGAGTATTGCCGAGATTCGAGAGGTTGTCACCGCGTTTGCCAGAAGTGCGAGGACAGCCGTGACAGCCGGCGTGGATATCATCGAAATACATGGCGCGCATGGCTATCTACTGCACGAATTCCTCAGCCCGATAACGAACCGGCGAGTAGATCAGTACGGTGGGAGCTTCGAGAACAGGTGCCGGATTGTGCAGGAGGTAACGACTGCTATTCGCGCCTCAATACCGAATGGTGTACCACTTTTCCTTCGTATCAGTGGCACCGAATGGCTTGACGGCGCCTCCTGTGCGATAGAGAGTGGCAGCTGGGATCTGTCGTCCTCAATTCAGCTTGCCACGCGTCTGCCGGAGTTTGGGGTGGATCTGGTCGACGTGAGCTCTGGTGGCAATCACAGAGAGCAAAGCATCCAACCCCACAGTACCTACCAGGTAGACCTTGCAGGGAAAATTCGCAAGGCGATCCATGCGGCCGGGCAGCATACCTTGGTGGGTGCCGTTGGGTTGATTCGGGACCCTGAAGCGGCCCGTGATATAGTTCAAGGCGCAGACGAAGACGTGCCCAGTCAGCAACAACCGAAAGCAGATGTCGTATTGATAGCTCGCCAGTTCCTGCGGGAACCAAATTGGGTCTTCACAGCGGCAAAGAAGCTGAATGTACCCGTGTCACTCACGTATCAGTTCGGCAGAGGGCTACTTTGATCATGACATGCTAAATAATACGTATAGTGCTATATATTGTTTAACCATCATCAAGGCATGGCGTTCCCATTTTACCATTCAAGAGCAAATCCCTCCCGCCCATCCTGCGCTGGCAAACCTTTTGCGTGTCCCCACTTGATTCTTAATCTTGAAGCCTTAATAGTAGTTCTTCAACCGTTACTAGTCCTGCAAATACTGGCCCTCGTAGACCATGCATGCGGGACAAAACCTCCTTATGTGGTGTAGATTCCATGCTTTTGTTGACATACCAAGCAGGCGCCCTGGAAAATTAGTTAGAAGCCTAATCACTTTGTGGGACTGCTGGGTTACAGTACTCAGGGTGATTTAAATGGAGAAAATACAGGACATGTTACCTTATGATAATATGGTGATTTGAGTAGATCCGGAAGGTGGACTTATGTTTGGTAAAACCTCTAAACCGAAAAAGGGTCGATCTCTTGTCTCTCCTATTCACATTCTGAGCTTGCAGCTTTGATGATAGCAGGTCTTACTGTTAATAAAATGATTAAACATTATTATAAGTTTTTCTTATATAAGACTAATTTAGCTTACCTTTCTCTAGCCATATAATTTAAATTTATTAATAGTTTCTAGAGATTCAGTTCAGATTATTTTATCTTAGCTGTTTTTTAGCATTATTCAATATATATCAGGAAAACACTGGCAGCCTTACTAGTTAACTGGCCGCGTGTAGTAAAAAAAAATAACTATACTATTTAATATTATATAATAACTAATTGAATATATCTTATTTAATATATTCAGACTAGAATATCAAATATAAGAAGAGAAAGAAGAAAGTGTGGGGAACTATATATAAATAATAAAGATAAGTAAATAAAATGAAATAGATTAAAACAGAATATGTCATGTGATCCAGTCACGTGTCTCCGAACACCGCTCGCTATCATACCACCTCCCTAACAAAACAATTTAAATAATAATTATAAATTAGTATAGAACTAGTTTTATATAATCAAGAAAGTTTTTATAAAAATAAGATAATAAAATAATATAGATCTATGTTTTGTATGTCAGGATAGGGCCTGGGCCTGGTCAGGTAATCCTAGTCCGGAAATGGTTAGCCTGGTCAGGCGAGAAATTAGCGTGGGCCAGGTGACCTGCGTACACCTGGGTTGTGGGGTTGTCTGGATCACGACGGGTATTGCGGATAAGACCGTAATACTTCTGAAAGTAATCGAAAGAAAAAGATAAAGTTTTTAGAAGAATATTGCACTCTATATTGGTGAATAGCGTACTTACGGGGCATTGACGGGTGCCATTACCACGCCGCACACCCCACAATTGTGACGGGAAGACATGCGAACTCTTATAATGCCTTCTTCGCCAGCCTTTACATACTTCTCATCCAACAACAGCTGAGAGTATTAGATATCCTCCGCTCATATGTGGTAGGTAGAATTATATAAGGTAATTATTCCTTTAGCAGTTACACCTGGTCCTGAACCGCAGGAACAAAACGCACCTGAATAGTATGTTGTGCGGCATTGATCCATCAATAATCCCCCAACTACCGCCACTGTATAGTATATCGAGGTAGTTTATAGTTTAGCAATTTTTATAAATATAGTTTTCTAATGTATCTGTTACATAAAAGTGGGTCGAGCGGAGACGGGCGGGTGCGGGTGTTGCGGGTGCTGCGGAGTGGTGACGGAGCCTATGTTTTTTGCTTCTTTGCCCTTGTATTATTGCGAAGTAATTGTACTAGTGGTTTATGGAGCGGATACTACACATGTACCAGTTATTCCCTGTGCCTCCTTATTAAGTACTAGTTCTACAATTGCTTAGACTGAATGCATTACTCGCGTGCCTTGTGATACAATATACCTTTGGAGCAGTTAGCCAAAGGGCCGAGATAATAGTCTTGATATTAACACTGCACTCTATTTGGATATGTAAAGGACAATGATAGGTCTTATCAGCGCCAGTTGTCTGGTTACATATAAGCATTAGCAGTCATCATTTCAATCCTAGATGCCGAGAAAGTGTTTATTTCCCGATAACCCTCAACTACTGATGGCCGGTCGTCCCAGGCATTGCCACGAAAGAATTCACGTGCCAATCATTACCCATTTGGGACGTTCCTCCGGCACTACCAACCTTCCCCACGAAGGAACTCGCATGGCATTTATTCTAGTTCAATGTGATCTTCTGCTTTGTTCATCATAAGGTATCACTGCGCGAGCATCTGATGGAAGTAGAAAGCAGCAAGCTCTGCGTTGTCGACACGATGGTTGCATTCACAGTGACTATATAAGCGTCTGACTGACGAGGGATATGATCAGAATTAAACTCCGTAGACAACGTTTGATTGGATTTCCATGTGTATTTCGGCGTGGTATTAGCTACATGAATAGATTCTGGAGTTCCTTTAGTAGAGTTGTACTTTCTGGGGAGAAGATTCATTCTCGCAGATGGTATACAAGGGAACGTTTCTGTGCGCAACTGGTCGGAGTAATATAGCGTCATCTGACGCCGAACAGTTGTAGTAAGTAAGCTAGCAGCAACACATGTCTTTGGTTGAAAAAGATAACCAACAGGAATGAGATTATCCTTGAAAAGGTCCGTCCTAGTAGTCTCACATGTATTTATTGCGTTGGTAACATATGTACTAGTGTAAATCAACTTGGAATGTATATGGGTCGATAAGCGCTAATATTTATGTTTTGCTGTAGTATGAGTGCCTCTAAGCGTAACTAACATGTTGATTTTGTCCGCCAATTTTACCAGCAGAAAAGACAATTCTGTATGATGAGCGTAAGCACTAGAAATCTTCCTTAACGAGATAGGACTAGAGTAAGGAATAAAAGTACAATGAGTCTATAACTCACCTTTTACATCGCAAGTGTGAGGATTTTCAGCACCGAAGTATTATACACGTCAATAAACCGAACACTAAATTTGACTAAGGGTTTACACGGGTGGCTTAGACCAGAGAAAGTCCGCGGATGTTGCGGAGTAAGACAGCCAGCAAGTGCTAATCATTCGATGTCTGAAATACTTCAACCGACAAAAACGGTGTATATGCATATCTTTTACTGTTGACACCTCTTCCTGATTAGACGAGGGAAATAGCAGATGGAATTCTAGCTAGGGTTTACAAAATCCCTGCATCAGCTAGATCGCGAGGTGTAAATAGTTGCAACTCATAAACGGAAGGGTTGACTATCTCAACACACATATTCATAATTAGTGCTGGACATGTTCGCCCTAAGTCCCTGGTCGTTACTGTATGATACAGCTTGTTACGAAAGATTTGAAAGGATCTGGTGGAAAGACCGTTGCTGGAAGTTAGCTCCTAAGCTGGTTCAGGTCTAAAATGCTGCAATCGGAATGGTATAGCCCCAGCTCCAGAATATGTCTCCGCTTTACATTTGAGAATCTGGACATGTATGGCTAAACCGCCTTCATCACTTCGCTTTTATCCTCGTTGCTCACACGGGAGAACGGGAGCATGTCTGCCTGACAGGTGACTATGTCTTAAATATGTTGCAAGTGCGGAGTAGGTTCGCGACATGAGACCTAAAAGAGCGTCCTGGTACGGCTGCAATAGCAGCTTATTTACAATACCAACTTCACCTGCTTAGAGCCATGTCAGTCTGTAACCGTTGTGCAAAATCTCCAGTTCAAGTACAATATAGTGAAGCATCTCAATGGTACCGCATCCCTCATCGGCGTAGAAAAAATCATAATTTACCATTGCCAAGGAAACCGGAACCTGAATCCTCGTATAAGCGGAGCAATGAATATGGTGATACAGATATGGGGCATACACTTGTTCCCGTCTCAATATCCCCTCAGTAATATTCGACTCGTGATAAACGGAAGTGCCGATCAATAAAGAATATTATTCCGCAAATGACAAGCAGCAGAAACAATATAAAAAGACCCCTTACCCTGTGGCTTTTGAAAAGGACTTTCTAAAAGATACTGTCAGACAAATATTCTCTGGAAATCTATTATCTCTTAGAAAAGATCTACCAACATGTTCTCTTTCATCTTGGCCCTAATCTTGGCTTCTACCCCTCGTACGTATGCATGGAACGTTGAGAGGTTTACAAACCTTGTTGTCTTTGGAGACAGTTGGTCGGATGCTGGACGACTGCATTACTTTATCTCCCACAATGGTAGTGTGCCTCCAATTGGCTGGATTGATGATGGGGTTTGTTCTCCGCAAGATATCTTCGCCGAGTCTTGGTATCTGACCACAGTCTAGGATACTCCTGCTGCAGATGGTGGACGTCCTTGGCCATCATACGTCGGCATGTATACGGGTGCAGAAGTTCACAATTATGCTGTGGCAGGAGCTGTATGCTCTAACGACCTTACACCACGTATCGCGCAGCCGACTGGGAAGTTATTCCCTGATGTAGCTGGCTATCAGGTTCCTGCTTATTTAGCAGATCGTCAGTATACATATACCAACGGAACGATGTTTATGGATGCACCTCCAGAGTCAACCGTTTACGCTATTATGATTGGTGGAAATGATGTGGGAGCAGCTGGCTATCTCACTGATTCGCAAACCATAGGAACAACAATTGCAGACTATATAGACTGCGTATTTCAGCAGATAGATCGACTCTTTCAGCACGGTGCTCGCAATTTCGTCATTCATACCCTGGGAGCAATGTATCTCACACCCCAATATGCAATGCCAAATGAAGGGGGTCTAAAAGCTACCCAATATTGGCCAGACAAATACAGCAACATCACTGGTGTGTCGCAAAGAATGCTAGAGCAGGTGGCGCTCGTGAATGCAGTATACAAGGCCAGATTACCTCTAGAGGTGGGATTTCAAAAAAAGTACCCAGGTGCACAGTTTGCCCTCGTGGACCTTGACAGCCTGGTGAGCGTCTGAGCCAATATACAGTGGCATGATATTTAGTAGTAATAACTGACCTCATTCCTAGATGAAGGATATTCACAAACAGCCCTCGGCATATCTTAACGGTACAAGCCCTTACAATGTCACTGGGTACATCAATCACTGTTCGCTTAGTGGGACTGATTGTTTTCTCTACGACTATGACGGCCGAGATGCGTTCATGTGGTATGATGAACTCCATCCAAGTGAGCAAACATGGCGCGGATATGCCAATATTTTTGTCGATATCATAAATGGACGTAGCAAGTGGGCAACATACATATCAGCTTAACAGTCTTTTGCAAGTTACATGGAATATTTCTCTATTCAGGGATATAACTAAGGCTTATGTTGAAAGCAATGTGGCCCTTTGGAGTCTAATTGTTCTGCACACCTAATCACAGACCTCCAGTGACTTATTGCCTGATGAACCAAAAGTTATAACTCTGTCAATTCTATCGTATTGTTATTTTTTGGCGTTTATTTGGCCTATATGTTTTACTGGTTGTAACGACTGTTGGATGTCATTCAGAAATATTGTAGAATTATTATATCTACTGTCTCCAATTGTAGCAATGAACACATGCTTTCTAATGAAAATAGTTCGGAATATATGAATTTCTTAGTCTATAAGCATTATATCACGTTGCTGACTTGCATAATACAAAGTAATGTAGTCTAATATTCCTCACTGATATAATTCTTGCTAACACATACCGCCCTAGGACCCATGTACATAACTATAATAACCTAATTTCTCGTTAGCTTCAAAGCTATCACACTCGTTCACAGAGAATACGGTGGTTCCACTTGCAGAAAATATCATCCTATGTCAGAAGGCTTCTGTGTAAAGGCTCAATTCAATTCAGCCCAGTTGATAGTCTTTAACAGATATGTATATACGGATTACATATACTTCAGCTATTCAAGATTATTAATAGAACATAGATCCTGGGTCATGTGACGAGAATTGGGAGGCTTGGGTCTCACAGTATTCCTATTCCAAAGCCTTACTTAATTTGTTCTTTCTATTACTTCCTGTCTAGGTAGCCGATTTAGTATTATATAACTCGTATTTATAAACTCCCTTGACTAGGGGGCTGTATTATGTTAATTAATTTCCCTAGTAGGCGAGGGTTATGGGGTATAGATCCTTACAATTGGTAGCCACTGACGCAGGGCTGCCCTTGTAAATAAGTAGTGGATCTAGATGTCCTAGCTGGCTATTATTCAACAATGGGCGACAGAAGCAAACCATCATGAGAAGGAATTATAGGTAAAGTAAATTATTTATGACTGAATGTGTACGACAGGTGCTTGATTATATCCATGCCACAATCTTTTTCATTGGACACTAGCCTCATTAAGCACCTTTAATTGATAAGCCATCTCTTCATCGAGAGAGACGGTCTAAAGTTTCTATGATCTGAAGTACTCATACTGATACTATATGTTTTTGTTATTGTACTCCGCCTGACAGTAGTAGTTACAACACTAGCAGTCACCTTTGACCGACATTGGCTCCTTCTCGACCAGGAAGTACAGTAGATCTTTACCACATATCTGCAACACCATCGTTATTATTCTTTAGCCCCTGAGAAAGACACGCCGGAAATCTCTTCCAAGTACCCACACGGCTGCATCCCCACTTGCCGTGTCTCTAGTGGTTTCTACCCAACCAACCGTTCGCGCAATCGCTGGGTAAATGTTAGGCATTGCTGTTCTACTTTTAGGTGCGCTCCACCATGGTATCTCTCCTGATTTGCTGACACCCAGAGACTTGGTAGAATATCTGCACGCCAGCATTGTGATCGTGCCTCGGGTTTTTGAATCTAGGAGGTGATAGAACTAATAATATGGAGCTCAACCTATGCAGCCATAATATTGTGAATGCTCTTGAAACCCCTGACCGCTAAGTACCATATTATATTAACAGTCAATTGCTTCCACAAAATGCCACATAAGTATACCAGGTAATATAACAAAGCCGCCGTCCTGACCGGTAATATGTAATACCAACTGAAGTACTGCCCAAACTCCAGTTCCAAAGTTATTAGTCAATTTGATCACAGCTTGCTCCTCACGACGCCGCAACCTTCCTCCACCGCATATAATATGTCAAGTTTTTCCACAGCCCGTACACAAATGCCTCGAAGATTGAGACTATAGCTTTTAACTGCCCTGGCTCCGCCATTGCCCGATCCCACTGGTTCTTAAGTGCGCGTCCGAACAGTGATGAGCCCAGCTCCTGTTCTGTAATCCGGATTGCATCCTCTCCGTTGGTAATAATATAGTATACTGGGCCAGAACTGTCGATACATATTGAGTACGGACTGTCCATCGCTTGCCAGCGAAGATGTGCTAGAAACCGTCGGATGACTGTCTTTGTGACTCGCCATCCGTGGCCATATTCCAGGAGACCTATAATGCCCGCGTGGAAGGCGAGGAGTTCTTCGAATGAAACCAGCATTTGTTCGGCGGGTGTGCCGACATGGTAGACACCTGCAGATTCGAATTGGATGGCAAAGGTCTGGGTGTGGTTAGCTTAATCAATTGCACCAAGCAGATCTTGGTACTGGCCATTGCAGAGAATGGTACTTAGTACGAGCGGAAAACCTACCATAATATAGATGTAGAATAGTTGGCGGGACGAAGTCACATATTCTGTATAGGTTGCTGGTTTCCAACCAAGGCATGGCTCTAGGTCTAATAGGAATGTTATAATAACATTGCACTCCTTAAACAAGGTGGATCTAATTCAGGGATACTGGATCGGATTATAGCTTGAGCTTTTCCGGGCCTTTGGATCCCGCTTGACTGATTCCCGACCGTGATCTACCTCTATTGACGGGGCGCCTGATACTACTTCGACACAGTACGAGAAAGATTGCTATCCTCATTAGTGGATCTCTATTTTCTGCCAGCCCACTGATATCGCAATCTCTATATGTTTCAGTTGCTGAATAATTTGATATCTTACTTTGACAGGAAGTGGTGGATAGTGTCTGTGATATATTTACCGCAAGTGGACTAACTACTAGCGATATTTTCGCACTATACCAAAGTAGTAGCTACTAAACCCACCAAGCTGTTGGTGCCCAACATGCAAAAACTTTTATCGGGAAAGATCATGAGTTAAGAGTGTCAGGTAGCAACGGATAAAATTTATTGGACCATCTGAAATAATATAATACTTTATAATAACCAGAATGCCACATGCAAAGTACAGAGATAGAGGTCTAGCACTGCGCTCAAGCTGTAATATACTAAGCCCATATAATTTACCAGAGTTCAAGGGGCAGAGGTATTTCCAGGAACGATTTTAGCTTGAAGCTCTTTATTGTTTCATCTCACCTAATCAAACGGACCAATACTTAAGATTATTATGATATAGCAGGGGTTGGTAGCCGAAGCTTTCATGTGTACAGTCTGTGATAGCGAATAGTGTTCAGAGGCACGTGACCAAATCACATGACATAGTTCTATTTGCTTTATATATTCTATTTATTTATTTTTATTATTTATATATATTCTTTTGTATATTTTTTTCTCTTTCTTCTTATATTTAATTGTGATAGGATCTACTTGTCAGGGTAGAAGGCCTGTCGACTAGGTAAGGAATCGACCACGAAATACTATAGATTAGTGTAATAATGACAAAGGTGGCCTATATCCACGCAATAGACTGATCCTTAGGGGATCAGTAGTCTGAGGACAGGGAATCGCTATCTCATACCTATCGTAACGGGCTGGGGTAGCTTTCGATGACCTCACGACCCTCATGATCACTATGATACGTCATCCCGATGATCCCAAGTATGATAGCCTAGCTATTATATCACATTAATCTTCTAATTTTTATATATTCAATAAGATATACTTAATCAGCTCTCATATAATAACAAATATTCTAGTTTTTTTTAACTAATAATATACGCGGCTAGTTCTCTAGTAAGATTACTAGTATTTTTCTTATATATATAAGATAATGCTAAATGTAATAGATTGGTGGTAGTGAGCTACATGTCTATAAAGCAGGATTCTAGGGGTCCGCAGGTAGCTGCGGGTAATGATGGTTTTTTTGGCCTTGTGTGAGCAACACCCCTAGGTTGTTCTATGACACTAGAATAGCTAAGACAGAATAATTTAAACTAAATCTCTCAAAAATATTAATTAATTTTAAATTATAATAGCTATTTATTATTAGGGAAGTTTTTATTTTATTTTTTTATATATAGTCCAGCTGCCTTCCAGTATTATATCAATAAAGATTTTATCAATTTTTTGAATAAGTTTATAATTATATATATTAATAATATACTAATCTTCAGCAAGAATAAGAATGAATATAAATTTTATATAAAAAAGCTAAGTGCTTAAATTTCATCATTTTAATCACTAATATATATGTAAATTTTATTAAAATTATTGTCCTTACTAAGTAATAATATCTTATAACGATCAAAAAAAAAAATTCCAGTTCTTTGTAGACCTCTATAACTTTTAATACTAGTTTATATGAAAATGTAATTATATTATAATATTAATAATCTGGTTAATTTATAAAACTATTTTTAATTTTAAAATCATTTAATATTTCCATGTCTGGCAGTACACCACCCCCAGTGGGTTAGGAAAGTCAATGTTCATGAAAGTCTTTATAAATAAGTACTGGTCTTCTATCTTTGAAAGGGCTTTCTATATATTTCCAAATAGTTTTGTTTTGGATGAATTAAGCAAGGTTAAATATGGTGTGTTGTGGAGGTTTGAATTGGTGAGGATTGCTGGTGGTTTATTGTCCCGGGGGTTTATTGTCTGATTGTGTTCTGGACTGCCTATATCGATGGCCTCATTAAAGATGTCGGCTGAAGGATCCACCCCCGCACTTCTCTCTTTCTAGATGATCGACTTGAAAACCTTAAGAATATAGGGGAGATATGGTTTGATGGGTCACCTAATCAAAACCCTGATTTTGGAGCTGTGTCTGAGAAAGTGGTAGAGCCTGGGAGTGCATTCACATCAGCGCAGAAAGTGGAGGGATGGGAGGCGGGTGGAGTTGGAGTGAAATGGAGTGATGAAGTGGAGTGATGGAGTGATGGAGTGAGGTGGAGTGAGTAGTGCAATTAGTGGAGTGGTGGAGTGGTGGAGTGACAAGCCTGAATCTGCTTTTCACCTCTGAGGATGTCTGGGAGCCTTGGAACGATCTGTAGGGATGCAAAAATCAATGTGAACGCGAGTCTTGAGCCAGAAGTTTCAAAAAATTGCCAATATCTTGCTACTCGCCGCATTTAGGCAACACTCGTCGAACTCGAGTCATTTCTAGTGGTTCCCATCACGCTGAACCATCACCATGACTAAGGCAGGTGTCAATGGCAAACCCAAGGTCGCGTTTATCGGTCTCGGTGCGATGGGTAGAGGAATGGCTATACAACTGCTCAGCGAAGGGTTTCCTGTCAGTGGATTCGACGTAAACCCAATGTCACTCGAGACATTACTGGCCATGGGCGGCACTGCCGCCCCAAGTCCACGGGAATGCGTTCATGATGCCTCATTCTTTATCTGCATGGTAGCGAATGCCACGCAGATAGAGCATGTATTATTCACCGAATCAGTGGGTGCTGTGTTTGGCTTGAAGAAGGACGCAACTATTATATTATGCTCCACCGTTGCCCCAGGCTTCCCGCAGAAGATCTTGGACCAGATCCATCATCGATTCTGCAGGCCAGATATCAACCTTGTCGATTGCCCTGTATCTGGTGGGACGCTTCGTGCAGCTCAGGGTACGCTGACGATCATGTCGTCCGGGGCACAAAATGCTCTTAGACTTGCCCATCCAGTTTTACAATCGTTTAGCCAAGCGCTATACACTATCGACGGGGGACTGGGGAGTGCCAGCAAAGTCAAACTTATCAATCAGCACCTTGCAGGAGTCCATATTGCTATTGCAGCAGAGGCAATGGGACTAGCTGCAACTATGGGGATAAATACGAAGCAATTCTATGACATAGTGCTGAAAAGTCCTGCGCATAGTTGGATGTTTGAGAACCGAGTGCCACACATGCTTTGCAATGACTGGTCGCCGCACTCCGCTCTCAGCATCTTTGTCAAAGATTTGGTACGTCAGCTCATCTGTGCAACCAACAAGGGATTTCGAATCTGCTAACACTGGCCTTAAGCGCATTGTCACTTCGGAGGGTCTGAATGAGAACTTCCCTTTGTACATCGCATCTGCCGCAGAGCGTCTCTATCAATTTGCTGCACGAGCTGGCTATGAAAAGGAAGATGACTCTGGCTTAGTGCGAATTTTTATACCCCAGAACTTGTCCTTGATTTCTGAGGCGACGCATCGAGAAAGCCACGCAGCTGACCATGAGCGAACGTCAAGAATGATCTGCCTTATACTGAGTATTGTTCACGGGGTAGCAGCAGTTGAAGCTCTTTCCCTCGGTATAAAACTTGGTCTGTCTATAAAGGCTTTGAACTCAATAATCTCAAATGCAGCGGGTGCAAGCAAAAGTTTTGCAGCTGTCGCAACAGCGATGATGGGACAACAAATTGCTCCCATACGTACTCTAACTCAGTCCAGAGACATTCTGGTCAGTCTTTTCGCTATCGCCTCTGTGTGACGTTCATTAATTTGGAATATAGAAGCAAGCGACGGTTATTGCCCAGACCTATGATTACCCTCTCCAGATTACCACCACTACACTGCAGCTATTGCAGCAGGCTGTGGCTCGTGGCCTGGGAGACCAGGATCAAGCAGCGCTTCACGTTTTATGGAATCCTTTAGCCTTATGATTATGGGGGTAGACGTTATCATGTTGGTAGCCTCTAACTTCTATGACAGAAGGTTTGGTCATTGAGAATTGTACATTTTTAGTCCTGAGCTTGCGTTTTCGATTATTGTTGAAGTTCTGAACGAAGAAATTACCCATATTGATAAGACTGATCTCTTCGGGACATCGTTCTTAGTGCCTTGTTTCGGACCAACAAGCTCGTCACAGTATCGATAATGCGTATTGTTTGAGAGGTAGATGATATGTCAATAGTAACAGGGACTTCGTCGGCCGAGGACAAGAAATTGATATACTAATAGGGGTGTCTCAAGGCCTGGTCCTCGGGAGCAAAACTGCGGTTCCTGCGACACTCCATCTGTAAGCTCCAAGAGGCTCAGGGTCGGTGCCTTTCCACTAGAAAAGTAAAGCTCTCAGTCATGTCGCAAAGTGCGTGTAGTGAATCTGACTATGATTGAACACATTGGATGTATCTCAGTTTGCACCAGTCTATCCTGCTCACTTGCGGCTCTCCTTAATTTGATAACTCGAAAGTATTGCAAATGCCTAGAAAGAATAAATCCCTTGTCACCAACATCACCTCCAGTTTATTTAACCATGAAATCTTCGAAATCCTCATCGGGGAGGTATGCCTGTTCATTACCTTCCAAAGCACCAAGGTACCAAGACATATCGCTTCCATCAAACTCGCGGGCGGCAAACCCGTTTCCAAGGTATCCAAATCGGTTTGTTGTGGTGTATCGAAGATGATAGTCTTCCCATCGGGGCTGTTTCATGGTTTCAAAGAAGTGAATTCTGGAGCCAGGCCACATCATCACTTCACCATCGACAGTGCCCTGTTTGAACCAAGAACGACATGGAGATGTCCATGCAGTACGTGGCATGAACTTTCTATGATGCTCGAAGAAATCCGCGACTGCTTCCTCTTTGGGCTCAAAGGAAGTGACACCCTCCGATGACATTTTCTCCAGAATTTGGAGGAAATGACGGGACAAGGTTTCTGTGATAGGGAGGAAGCTCCCGTGACCATATGGGCCGAAGGGACCGTTAAAGACTATTCAGATCTAATTAGTATACCGTATCTTCAGGGGATAATTCATTCCGCGATGGAGCCTTACTGAGGTAGTTAGGGAAGTTCGGAACAGTAATGGAAAGGTATGTCCTCGGAATGTCTTTCCACTGTTCACCGAGACTGCGGGCTTCCCTACCGATGGTCGGATATGATGGCCGCCAACTAACATCAAATCCAGTGGCACACACGATCACGTCAACTTCATGCTCAACACCGTCTGCTGTCCGAATACCCTTGGGAGTAATTTCTGAAATCGACTCTGAAACCACTTCAGTGTTCTGACTGCAGAGAGCCTCAAGGTATCCGTTTCCAGGTGTAGGTCTACGGCAACCCACTGCAAAATTCTTTGGCACTATATGGTCAGCAATCTCAGGCCGACGGGCGAGTTTGGATCGCATGTCTCTCTCCGCATACTAATCAGCTAATCAGTCTCGGGGCTATCCTCAGCGAGTAACGGCGCGGTGCCGGTTAATATGGAATCTTACCGCTTTTGCGTTTGCCTGCTCTTCCGAGCCGTTAAGGATGAATCGGAAACGAGAGTTGAGCTCGGATTCAATCTTCTTACGATAAGCTAGATATTTCTGAGGGTTGTTCCGAAATATGTTCTTCTGGTTCGCAGTATCTGAAAGCTGTTAGCTCGCACTGCCTTGCTTAATAAGGCGCAAAAGGAGTCCGACATTTGAAGTTCGTCCCTCCCTTTCCCGCGAAGCGCTGGCCAAATCCTGCAGTCACCCAAGAGGCGCTACGGATAAAGCATTTCAGAAAAGACACCGCTATTGACTGTGAGAAAGAAGACCTTAGTTCAATTGTTCATAAACTCACTTGGTTGAATAGTCGGAACAATTTGTACCGCTGAGGACCCTGAACCAATCACAGCCACGCGTTTCCCTTTCAATTCCACTTGATCATCCCAATGC